TCCAATCAAGTTTCGATAAACCCGTTCATCATCATCTCCTGCGGTTTCGAACACGCCTGTTAGGTGGTGCGGTAGACCGCGCCCAAAGCCAGGGCCCCGGTAACGTGAGGTAGCCGAGTCGGGGCAGCGTGCGCTGACCCAAGCCGGGGCCGCGCGTCCTCCCGGTGTCATGTGATAGCCCGGGGCTGCCCGCGGGGATGCGGTAGACCGCGCCCAAAGCCGCGGCCCCGGCTTGGGTCAGCGCACGCTGCCCCGACTCGGCTACCTCACTTTACCGGGGCCCTGGCTTTGGGCGCAGTCTACACTTTGTGGTGCGGTGGTGGTGCGTCGGGCCGCGCGCTCTGACTTCGGCCAAGAAAAATGCGTCAGCTGATCATTGTCATTTTTGCCACTTTCATGTGGTGAGATGGGGTCATAACTTTAGAGACGGCTGTTTCATATCAATTATTTTACATAAAATAATATTTCAAACCATAAATTAATGTTCGACAGCCAAATTAAAGAAGCAATACCAATACAGGCTTACAGTTTAAATTCGACATTGTGTTGTCTACGATTAGACAGCTGATAACTCATTCCCGTACGTCGTAACTCGATAATGACCTTTGCTTATTGTCACATGTGCGCCGCATTCGTGATTGTTGCCGACGCCTGTTTGCAGGTCAGCCCACTACAGTTGTTATACATATAGAAAAACCGATAAACTTTTAGGCGAAAAAAGCACTATTTTAGGCCCATTTTTGATTTTTTTTTCGATATTAGGTAAAAACAGAAGCTTCTTATCCTAGGAAAAATAAAATGGGAAATCATTCGAAGGTGGCACACAGACACTACCTTTAAGCTGACTTCACAAGAACAAAGCAGTATACCATTCGACGCGCCGGAGCTAGGCAAACACAAAGATGCTAAAATCGCGGCTCTGCGACCATTTGTTGCGAAGTTATCTATCAAAAACCGGACCCGTAATTTTGGTCACTTGAAATGACCTCAGGGGTCACCAATGAACCCGAGACCTTAAAATGTGGTATCATTTGATGCATCTTGTAACGGCGCACATGCTCGTTTTTCCGCAAGGTTCTAGCTCCATTAGAGGCGAAACAGCGAGCTGGGGTCGTACCGACCCCCCGGAAACCCATTTTGTATACATTTAAATGAGGAACTTTTAGAAAGAATACCTTTCTAATTTTTGCAAATCGATTTTAAAGGACCTGAGGTTTATTTTGAAGAAATAAAAATGGCAAAAATTTTGGTCCCAAGGGCTATTATAGACAATTTAAAAAATACTACGACTTTTTTCAATATGCAAAGCCTTTCTTTCCAATCTTAAAAATACTGTATTAATCTTTGATTCATCGTTAGTTCAAAGCTGTTTACCGTTTGTTGCTTGCTTAGCTCGTTTTTGAGTTATAGCTCATCAAACTCACCCTTACAATCTGAAGTTTAGAAAATATTATGCAATATAACTCAAAAAGTTTTCATCTGAGAAGTCTGATATTTTAGCAGCTGTTTTTGGAGCCTATGATTACCCCTTGTACCAATTTTCATTCAAATCTGAGAGATGAGGGTGACGGGCCTGGTGCGATCTATCTATCGTGGAATGCCCCAGGTACGAAAATAGCACCTGATCCTTAGAATTCATGGTCCGTTTTGCACAGTGCTGTATGGATGTATTGAGACCAGTTGAGACCAAATGAAATGCACTCAGTCACGGGCGACAGTCCGTAATCCCGGGATCAGTGGGACCAGGATAGGACATGGGCGGGTGATGAACAGTTGCACAAGTTGCACGTTACAATAACACACGACACATGTCAGTAAGCTCGTAGAGGGCTGCAAAAAGCAGCCAGGAAAACCTCCACACCGTCCGATTACAGTGATCCGAACGGCGGGCACCAGCTCATGCTCACTAAAACACGGGCATCAGCTCACTAGAACACCGGCAAACTCCTCCCGTGGCGCACTCTACCCAACCTCTGGCAGACCTTCTGCTTCTTTTTCTTGTCGCTAGATGGCAGGCAGACCAGTCCGGCGGCACAGGCGAACCGATTCTTGCACGCTTTTCCCTCCGGCAGCGCACACGGAGGGCAGCAGTCACACGGATTGGGTCTCAGCCCGATACCGTGAGGACAGTTGAGCTTCGGGCAGCCGTCCTTGCAGATTGCACACGGCATTGCACCACCAGGAGTGGTGAGCGCGGCGATCACCATCACCATCACCAGGGCGGAGAGCAGAGCGGCGCGGCGGGCCATGGTGCGGCACCAGTGGTGTCGGGGCGGCTGTGCCGTCCGGCCGGCGTGCGGAGCTTATATCGACTGTGGGACCGCGCCGGGCTGCAGCGGAAGGTCGCCGACGGGGGGGGGGGGGCTGTTGTCATGGGTCGGGGACAGAGGGGGGAGGGACGGAGGGTAGAGGGCGGAGGGTGGGGGTGCGGAACACTCGGTCAAGGTCACACCGGCAGTGGAGGCGCGATGATGATGAGCCATCAAAGGCGACTAGCAATCAGAGGCTCCCTGCTGACTGCAAAGCCATCAGAGACGTCTTACTGACTGGTGAGTGGTGAGTATTGCCGGCAGCTGATTCATCGGAGACGCCGTGCTGAGTGCTGACTGCTGAGCCATCAGAGACGCCCTGCTGAGTGCTGAGCGACTGCTGATCCATGCTTGTACTAGAGCTGGGCGGTAAGGCGGGTCCCAGTGCAAAGTCATTATTCAGCATGTCTGACAAAACACTGATGCAATGAGGACAGTGATGCGATGGCTGAAGGGGAGGGCGGTTAAAAACGCAAACGAACGGTCAGCTTCTGCGGGTATCCCTCCCGTTTTATCGGATCCTTGCGGAGAGCCTGCTGATCTCCATTGACTAGGAGCTCCGCCAACGGGGGAATTAAGGGGACTGCGGGGGTTCGGACACCCCAACGATTTCACTTCCGTAAGGCATGCTAATGTATAAAGGGTGTCAATTTTTGGGTTGGACCACCGATCCTGAAACCGTGGCGGAGTCCCTCATGCCATGACCCCCGTAAACTGTAAGGTCACGGCTCACGCCACCTATAGCAGACCCCCCCCCCCCCCCCCCACCGCTGCAGCAAGAAGCAACATCTCGCCACCTATAGTGATCCCGTCGGTCCACTCACATCACAAACGGAAGTGTTCACTGTTCTGGCTCTCCCATACAACGGCCGCCTACCGCTGCGCATATGCCTACAGTCAGATTGTTAGTCACCTAGACCTGTAGGCATCAGAGCCGAACGGCCAATTACAGCGCCAATTGTCCGTCAGCTGAAATTAGTAACCTTGGTGCAACACACCTCTGGAATGGGGCTGTGGTCCGGGCGTTAATTTTAGCCGAGCTACAGGGCGGAACAGGGTGTAACTGCAATAACCATGCACTCAGTGATTGCCGATTGCGTAGGCGAACGACAGGCGTGGCGTTTTATGGCCTGAAAGGTTGGGTTGCGGGTGAATAGGTACATTCAACCTACCATACGCCTACGTGGCGCACTTTTTTTGGCCGTAAATGTTAGTCGCTGAGTCAAAATAGCGTAGGTCGGCGGATACGTCAGTATCACTCAATCGACGCTCCTTTGCCATGCGGGCAAAAACGCCTACACGGGCATTGATGAATCTGATTTGCACGGTTATTCACTTCAAGTCACTGTAAACCAAAATCAAAAGAAGTTTCCTCTCCACTCGAGCAAAAGACCACTCCACACCACAGAATTATGCATAAGGCAGCGCTCTAACGTTTACGGATCTTCCTAATCTCCCCGAAGAGAGTAGGTAGATTTGCCCAACTGTTCTTCAGATTACAGATCCGGATAAAGCCACTTTGCACCGCGGCGCATGCCAGAAAACAGAGTACCCCCAGTTTCAAATGAAACTACTCCGTTATCTAAAGCTGAGCTGGTATCGTGACTGCCCTTCATCCGTTCTGGATTAGCTTTGATGAATCCGCATTCCGGTTTTCACAATCTTCTCCCGTGCTCACATTGTTAAAAACTCTATTCAGCATTTGTGCAGAACGTAGTTATTCATAAGTCAACATCGGCTAGCCCTTGTCGAGTAGAGGCTCTCCTCAGTCATCGCTCGCTTCCCCCTTCGCCGGAACGTTTCTAGATCGTCGGATCCCCTCACTCTCACGCTCAACTAACATCAGGGTTCAGACACATTACTGCCCGATTTTCCCTAATGACTTAACAATAGCGTTAGACGGCCAACGTAGCAAACGCGACCGTCTATCGCACACCACGACCCAGGCCGCCGCCCCAAACCAACAGAAGTCGGAAACGGTACAACACGACAGACCGGCAGGAGCGGTCGACGGGAACCAAGGCCGCAGCCGTCAATGGCAGTGTCCCCTCCGCCCGCATCGCAGGGATTTTAGCTGCCGGTGTCGCCAATACGATTATAATACGATTATATCCGGAGCTGGAGTTCCACGTCCGGTTTGCAGTGCTAATAGCGGACCTTGATATGCCAGCGGAGTGTTTAGCTAGTTTTAGTTCCGAGTGCTAGATTCTGAAGCTTCATATGGTGTGTGTATGTTTTGGGTACGCTAGCTCAACACAAGCAAGTCATTCGACCTATTTACGGGCGTGATGTAACCAAAGTACCCAGTCCCCTGTCAATGAATAGACAATGACATTCAATGACCTTTGGCGTCAAATACAGGAAGACCCGACCTTGGCGTGTGCCGAGCCGAGAACTTGACACGGATAAAGCCTGTCCAACAGAGACCTGTCAAACTATAGAGGGGAGCTAGAATGCCATCACTCCATACAAGGCGAGCTTAGAGAACAATCGCGCAAGGATGTGCAAAACTGAACTGGCACAAGGCCCCGCTATCGATATGTGCCATCTTTACTTCCTACAGATCGATAATCTATTCAGTGGTGGATGCGCTTCCAAGATAAGTTAGGCTCCAGTGCAAGTTATCTTACGAGAATTAGTAACCAAAAGATGTCACACAACTTCAACGTTCTGGTAACTCATAAGTCGTCATCATAACATGCTTTGTATTGCAAAACGGCGCAACATTTCGGCAAAATGGCCTATCAGTTGCCGTATAAATTGTTCCTCCCACAAGCATAACACCATCGGGCATCGCTGAGTAACATGATGTCATAACAATACACACACATACGCACACGCTGGATCACACAAACACACGATTGCACGCTAGCCGATAACAGGTGAAAGGTCGCCACACAGCGACTTCTCAGTGCAGCGCCCCGGGACATATTCCAGAGTGACCTCTGACCCCAGATCTGACCCCGTTCGGCCCGCAGAGGGGTGAAAGACGGGCCTACGTGGTGGAAGCTCACATTGGGCGAATTGTGTGGGGTGAGATCCGATAGCCCACATATTCGGCTGACGCCTGCCCTGCCCCTGTGTTTTGACTGGCGCCCAAAACACCTGCCCCTCTCTACCACACAAAAGGGTAGTAACAGACAAGCACACGCTAGCTATTGATATGGGAAATGGGTGATGCCACTAGCCGCGTATCGTCTTCAGTCATTCGCCAGGTCACCAGCCATTCTAAGGTTGACTTTCTGATGACTTTCTGCCCGTAAACTCCTGCCTCCGACCATATGCCGACAATTAAGTTAACATCCGCCAAAAACGCCAGTCGATATTCAGTACTGTTTCATTAAAGTACCTCAAGATTATTAGGAAAGAGATATGTTCACCTGAACAACCTCCAGTCGCTGTTTTTAGCATGGCACAAGATGTCGGTGCCCGCCAACAAGTTCCGACCACGGTGTTTCGAAGACTGAAAGGGGAACCCCCGTCTGCCGTCACCACCCGTGACCGCAGCGTGTCGCTCCGTCGACTGAGAGAGGAACCCCCGTCTGCCATCCCCACTTGTGACCGCAGCGTGTCGCCCCAGGCAGCCAATGGGAAGGCATGCCGACGTCACCGCATGCTGCTGATCTTCTTGGCCACTATTCCCGAGTGTTCTACAGATGGTGTTGATGATGCTCGCATAGCTTTTGAGTCGAGTTGACGAGGCCGGGTGATGATGTAACTGAAACATGAGAAAATAATCGTCAGCATCGAGCACGACCAACATGCGCCGCTTTCATATCACACACTGAAAATCGTTAAAAAAATGCAATGTTGATAGAGATAAAAAGCGAGAAAGCATCGAAGCTATGAATTAATAGAATATTTTCGCCCGACGGCCACATTTAGAGAAGTTTTGCATTATACGCTTCATTGGATATCGGTCGCTCAAATATTCAGCGTAAAATGCTGAAATACTGACGAAATACGAATCGTGACATTCATGAAACCTTCATGTATGTGAAGGTATACAGGACTGAGTCAAAACTCCACTACATCCATCATTTGTGTCATTTTTAACATGTTTCCATGGGTAACGCGTTTATAATCTGCAAGAAGCAGCCATTCACTTTCACTGGAGGGGCAGTTATGTGATTCCAAGGGTAGCGATAAATACAAATTGTACAAATTCCTCCTCGACAATATTATCACACTGTTATTAAAGTTCACCCCGGCAATTTTCACACAGTACAATCAGGCCAGTGTGGTTTGGGAAATTACAGGGATGAATAAAGAACTGCTCTTTTCGCAATCGTGTAGGAATTCCCAAGCTAACCGCTGGCGGAAGGACAACTGACTCCGAGCAGCACCACGCTAGTGCAGACCCATGCATAAACTCGTTCTAATGCACATAAATAGTGTTGCGGTTACTTTTTACGATTTGCTTTAGCGTGGTCGTTGCGACATCCTTTCGATAAACATAATTTAAAGGTCCAACAATTAATTTCACAAAGGTGCTCGAGCAAAGTACCTTGAATTAGAACGGCAGTTCAGGATAAACACAAAGCCAAAATATCTGTGAATAGAAGCAAGGACACGATGAGATTCACTGGAATGACGTGAGCGTATAGGCATCAACAACGAGGCAAAATAAAGAAAGAAAAACAATAAAGAGGCGTTGGGTTTCTCACACAGATATAAAGGCTGGATAACAACACTTGTGTTTCAGCGTGGGACCATGGTTCTGTGGTTTTAGCTGGAAACATTTGACTACACCGTCAGAGCTCAACTACGCAGCGCTTGCTGCAGCGTGTAGTAAATGATGCTAGCCAATAGTCTGTGACTCGAAACTTGACATATAGGTTCGGGACATTGTTTGCAACCCGAACCTTCATTTAGCGGTTTGGAGATGTTGTGACCACCCGAGTCTCCCACGCACTGTTGGGTCACGGCTAATCGCCAGCAAACGCAAACTAGCCAGTTCAGGGACGGGATAGCAAAAACAATCATCAAATTATATACCAAGAATGTCAGTAGCAGTGCCATCCGCTTTGTGTGACTTGGACATAGCCCCAACAATCTTGGCCCCAACCGCCGAACACAACGTTTTATAAAGCTAATACACAACGCAGGTAACCCAACTCATCCTTCACCGCAGTATCATGTGCTGAGGTTGGCCGGCTAAAGTTAGGTACAAACCATTTCAGACTAAATATTATCACTGCGCCCGCTCCATAGGGACTGAGACCTACGTAACTCAGTTCATTAATTCTTTTCGGACGGCGTTGTAGTGAGCGTGTATCACATAGAAATTCCAGTGAAACCTTTTAGCCATCAACGCGATTGGTAGTGGTTCGCGAATATCACCATTTTAACTGAATGCAACTGACCATGGATTGGCTACACAACTTTGCAATAATGTACAACCTCGCGTGTTTAAAGTAGACCATAAGAAAAAATGGGCACGATTTCCCCTTTCACAGCTATCCATCAAATCACAACCACTAAGGATTGAATGGCGAGGATATCATATAATCTTATATTGACGGTATGTGTGCCAGCACACAATAGACCCCACCCTCTAACTAGCATCACGTAAGCCAATCGTGCTTCCTTCCAGACTGACGTGGCCATACCCACCGCTTCCCTCCTCACCTGTTTCAATGAAGATGCAAGTCGGTCGGCTGGCTGACGGTGTGAGACCTCCCCAGATGCCTCTCTTCTTGATGACAGACACGGCGGCCTCAGAGACCACGGGAGACCACAGGCGGAGGAGGAAGTCAGGCTTTTGACAGAGACGTCTCCCATCGACGAAAGTTGGTTTTCCAGTGGAGGTGAGGCGTTGGCCCCAGGAGTTTTACGCCTGAACAGGAGCGTTGAGTCGACAGACGGGGCCTGACTGTGCGAAGTGTATCCGCCTCTTCCAGGCTGGCAACTAAGTCGAGCAGCTGACGTCCATCACTGAAGCGAATGAAGAAGAATGGAGAGGCAGCTGTTCTTCTCGGTAGTCAGGGTCAGAGCGGACCACTCTGGTAGGCACTCGAGTGCTCCATCTCAGCCGTCCGCTGCCTGCACTAGGCACTCCTGGGCACTCCCGGGCACTCCGTATCACTGATCTAGACTCTACCAATGAACACTCCCGAGGCGACATTTTTGACACTCCGTCATCTGGGGGCAGACTGCACAATTCTACGACACTGCCACTGTGGCAAAGCGCTGCTCCCCAGTCCTCCCGAAACACTGCTGCACTCCAAGGGGTCACTCACATCACACTCCCACGACACTCCTCGGGACACTCCTCAAGACACCGCAGCACTCCGGGGGCACTCATCACAGCCGAATCCAATGGCCAATCTCGGCAGTAGACTCGCCTCTCCTCGCAACACCATGGCGATATGACTAGCGGGTGGACGCAGTGACTAGCGAGCAGACCACTCTGACCAGCGAGCGTACCAGATAGACTCGCAGAAGGCCTGTCAGCAGCCGATAGTCATCAGCACATGTTCTCAATGACCAGACTGGAGGTTGCACTTGGTTACACCATGTCAAGGCGAGCCGAGAAGCCAGCAATGTTAGATATGTGCTGTGTGTGCGCACTTTGGACGATCGTCACCGTGTACTAATCCGAAGTCGTCATCCGGTGCACAGCCGATGACGCCGATGACGCCGCCGATGACGCTAGTGGCGGCTGATGGCGGCAGGCGATGACGTTTGATGGCTAGTTGAAGGAGTCTCCGGGCAGAGTCAGCCCGACGCAACAAGAAGCCAGCGACACCTGCGAAAAGAAGGCTACGTTTGAGCGCGAGGATATAGCAAGAGCCACTAACTTCAATGTATAATTCGAATCACAACAAACACAATCGTCGCAATGACCTTGTCCTTACTCACCAGCAAGTATGCAATCGACATAAGCATTTAAGAATCATGGAAAGCAGTAAGCACGCTTTATGAAATCATTCGATGCATTCTTGCTTAGCTATCAAATCCACACTTAACCAATGCATCAACGCATCATTTCATTGAACAATAACATGGAAGAATGACGCCCTAACATAACACATTGACATGTCGGCCACTCTCACAAGGTTCAATCCCTATGACCCTCCCTATCCGGCTACCCATCCCACCTCCCATTTCACTCCTAAACCCCATCAGCACCCCTGACCTCTCTCGCTCGCACCTCTGTCACGTTTTGGTGGCCAGTTTGACCCTCCTCCTCCCCGCACCCGCCGCTGCTGAGGAGGGGCTCTCTGCCGCATAGTTATGGTCCTCCTGCCAGGCGGGTTTGGCGGGCCTCCAGAACTCCTCGGCACCGAGCCGTCGCCGCACGCCGTCAGCGAGTCGCCGCTCTCCCTCGACCGTCACAGTCCAGGGTCGGGAGAGCGGGCCGCCGCCCGACAGGCGACGGAAGAACGGGCTGGCGAACAGCGCCTGCTCCAGACACGTCTGAAAGAGAGGACAGCTTAGATGGGGTCAGACGCACACGTGTATATCCGGGTCACCATTTGTATACAGCTATGCAGTCACTGATTCAGCGTCTGATTTTTCACGGGTTCTTCATACACAGTGAGCGACACCTGATTTTGTCACGGGTCTATAACTTGTGACGCATCGCCTATTGGTCACATAATTGAACTATCAAATGGAAAGCGGCATACCAGCACTGAAACTCAACATGTGCTCACACCAATAAAACACGTTTTTAACCTTTTAGTACGATAAATAACAAAAGGAAGTGCAATAAAAAACATGCACAACGCCTTTCTTTCCCCTCTCGTAAATATAGCCCACTCCCTCGCCACCTCTAAGTTATCCTCTCCCCTCGCAGTCCAGCTCACCTGTAACCGCTGCTCGTGCTGCCGATAGAAGGGATACACCTGTCTGACGAACTGAGCCGCCAGCCGAGCCGTCAGGCGCCGGTCGGGAGACGAACAGATGGCCAGCGCGGCCAGCTCCTCAAAGGTATACGGCGGTCGACGGTCCGCGTCCGTCCAGCCCAGGCTGGCCACCAGGCGGGGGAGGACGGAGGCGGGGGTCTGAGGGAAGACAGGAGGGTCAGTATACAGAGACTGGCCACCAGGCGCGGTAGGACGGACGCGGGGGTCTGAGGGAAGCACAGGAGGGGTCAGTATAGAGACACTGGTCTGTCATCCCGGGGTATGACTGGACTGGTCATACCCCGGGACGAAAGCCGGGATCTGTAAGGAAGAGAGGTAGGATCAATGTATGTAGAGGTGTCAATAGTCAGTACAGACGTCTGTAAGGAAGGACGTCCGTCCAGCCCACACCAGCTACTAGGTAGGGGGGGGGGGAGTCTGTAAGGAAGGGAAGCCGGCTAGGGGGACTAGGTTAACATACAGGGGCTAGGGGGGTCAACAGTCAGTACCCGGGGGTCTGTAAGGGAGAAGGGGGACACCTTAGAGGGTCTATGGGGGTGTCAGTGACTCAGTAGTCAGTATAGAAGTATCCAGTGTCCCAAAATTATATTTGGCTTGGGTGTCAGAGGGGAATATTCGTCACTACAAGGAGGGCTGAGAGTGGAAAATTGCCAGTCAGAAGGGCACTTAAAAGAGTTGAAAACAGGGATTAACAATTTATTTGTGAATGTTAGAAGGTGTGGGAGCTGCGTTATAGGATGATAAAATAAAATATGGAAGGAGGTAAAAGGTACATGCAGATGCTCGTGGTTGGTAAAACAGGGAGTGAAAAATCTCTCAGAAAATTGGAGGTTAGAGTGGAAAATTGTTTTGATTTGGGTGTCGCTTCCCACCCAGGATGGCAAATTTTGTGACACTGGAAGTATCAGGCAAGTGTTAGGGGGGGGGGGGGCGTCAGAACAGAGAGACAGGCTACCTGACGCGGCAGGAAAGGGGCGGGGTCGGCGGGGAGGGTGATCTCTGTTTAGGGTGGTTGAGGAGAAGGATGTCTCAATGCAGAGAAGTCTGAGAGAGGGAAATATTTACAGAAATAATACAGAAATAATATTACGGAAATAATACAGAAGGCAAATGCCAGAGCCAGAAGCAGCGGGGATGGGGAATGATGGTCAACGCACACTGTATCAGTGCCGAAAGAAAAAAGGGGCATCATAGATTAACCCATGCAACAGCTACTGTTGTCTGTTGCCACTAAATCAGCAAACTGGGATTAGGAAGGTGAGCACCCGATACATGTATGTAAAGCCCAGCGCTAAAGTACTGTGTGGTTTTACCAATCTCAACGGATGGTTTTGACTGACGATTTTCAAATGCAGGCTGATTGAAAAGAAGACGTCAATAGATACAATTGTAGCTGCAAGGGTGAAGACACATGTAAGCTACATTTAAAGTCTCGTTGCAGTCTGGCTAATCGTTCCTAAGCTTCAGAAGCAGAACATACCCATGACTGAAACCGCACATTACTTCTGCTGTAGACTGTACAAGGGTGAATTCGGTTGCAAATATTCAAGTGTGACTTAGCTCTTGTTTGTTTATTGGAGCTTTAGGGCGCGCCGACTAGCTGGAGTCATTTTGCGCCCATGTGTGACTTAGCTCAACGGTGAAGTAACAACTGTAATCCTAGGCAAGCGTTAACATGGCCGCATTACTCTACAGAAGTCCGCCATACTGCTGCGTTTGTTATTAATGAACAATGAAGCAACTGCCTTTAGTCGCTGACTGGAGGAAAATACATAGTGTGTAGTGAAATTGACCCTAGGGAATGTACCCTTTGCCCCGGCCGCGCCGCAGCCCCCACCCCCCAAAAAAAAACATGTTCCAAACCAAACTGATAGACCCCCTGTGTTCTATGACTCTAAACGAGTATCTGAGCAGCTGCTATGGTAATCATTGATGTTTGTGGAGGGAAGGCAAACTGCAAAGTGCATATTCCATCGCCCCTTATCGATCTATGCCATGACCAAGTAACGTGATGTAGGTAACCCACATTGGCACAGTTCTACTTAGTGAGCGGTCGTGTGTACTGTGTTGCAAACAGACAGCTTGCTTCCGCAAACTTTCTTCGAATGTGAAACGATCAGCCAATGCGCAAAAACACAGAAAGAAGCAAAAGTAGTACGCCAGATAAATTTTTATTACGCATATAGCCACCCTTTATCAATTGTGATGGATTTCACCTCATGTGACCTATGCTCACTCATATCACACTGTGTTATCTTTGACACAGTTCGCCCCGATACTGGCCCCAAACCCACCCCCACCAGTCCTGTATCCTAAACACAGCACGATAAGCCGGTACACACGTCAACACGCGGGCGGTAAGAGCAAACTCCATATCGGCCACCCAAACATGCACCGATACGTCAGCAGTACGGCGCGGTTCAAGGTTCTGTTATTGGGGCTAGACAGCAAATCAGATGCCCTGTCCCTGACCGAGTCCAGAAGTCCAATGCTGGTCAGGGAATTTCATTTTCCTGCTTTGCCTTTTTACTTCTCTACCCAGAGGACTGCTCTACTCCTTGGAGCGCTAAACCCATCGGTCCAGATTCTAGATCCCATATCATCCTTTCGACTTTTCTTCTGCGCTGCTCCAAGCTTATCACCATATTAACAGCGGCACCATATTTACACCAACAGGTAGAAGAGGAAAAATAGGAAAAAGGAAACATCTACTATAGGAAGAAAAGGAAAACATCGGTCGAGTCACCGAGTGAAAAATATTCGACTAAGTCATGGCACCACTAAGGTCAGACACGTGAAACAGCACGAAGCAACGCAGAATAGCGTCAATGCAAGTGTCTATAGCGCAGCAGGCAACTGGACAGACATTCTTAAGGGGGTTGTCTTCGCTCCCAAAAATAGGGAAGACAGGTATTTCGAAAAGGGTTGGTCGGGATCCGTCCGAACTCACCATGACGGCCAGAAAAGCAGGCAGAGAGCACGGGCGTCAGATGATGCGACGTCATCAGGATAGGAAGGTGACGGCATCAGGACCGAGTATGACGTCCGCAGAAATATAGAATGGAACAGGAGCAGAGCGGAGATTACAGTCTGAAGGAGACAAGCACAAGTAACAGCTTTGAGCTTAGGTATTGAGGATTTAAAATCGAGGATGGAGATGGATAGATACATATGAAAATAGGTACGAGTAGAAAGAAACGAAGCAAACATATATCAGAAGCATGTTCAACTCACGGAAAATGTAATGGGAAATTACCACTAGCTGGCTACTCTATAACTTACATGAACATGAATAGGCGAGAGGAGAGCGATACGCATTTCGCTGATTTCGTTAGTGATAAATGATAATGATAAAAATAATGATATACGCGCACAAAATACATCCTTTATTTTGGTTTTTGATTGCTCCAAACGTGCGAACAGTGAGAAGCACTTTGGCTGCAAACTTGGAATGAAACAGACTTTACCCTAACTACCGGCTCCCCAGACACATTTGACACAGTATCCGCCCCCACGTACCAGGTCGGTGTACTCGTTGGCATCCGTATCCGGACTGTCCGGGTCCGGGTCCGGATCGGGGTCCTCGCCAGTATCCACGGTGTAGTAGTAGGCGCTCAGCAAGCCGTCCAGGTCTCTGTCCACATCTGGTGGAATACAGAGGGACGGTGACGAATTGACGGCGAGGATCGACGAGAAAGAATAGGGATCTGGGCAATTTATGGTGCATACAATTTCTCTATAGAATCACTATGCTGAAAGAAACGGGTGAAGAAAGATAGAAAAGTTGTTTTGAAGTTTCTTGAAAAAGACGCTCTTGAAGGGTGAGATTAACGTGAAAGAATTGAAGTGAAAATCAACGGGTGAAAGGCCGGGCGGATTGACAGGTGACCAAACTTACCGCTGGCAAATTATCAATTTCAGTTTACAGGCAACGAGAGCGCAACCAATAATCTCTTTCGAATTGGGGAGTGGGTACAGCAATTCGCAACATGCGCTGGACAGCAAATACAGAAAACGTTGGTATGACAAAAATGTCCCTTCCGTATCTATGTAATACAAGGTATCCGGAAACATCGCAAAAGGTGATTCCCACTTTATCGCACCCATCAGGCACGGGGATCCACCTGGCGATAGTAGCGCCACTCGATTGCAGCGGCTGAGTGTAGAACTAAGCCTCGCTGACGCCGCTGAATACTTGATAAACAACGTGGTCAGTGGTGCGATTGCGCCGCAAGTGAAATCCGCCTACCACCACACACCACACACGGCAGCGTGGTGGGGGAGGTGATGCAAACTAGGACGATAATCTGAGCCCCGAAACAGATAGAAAAATGTCCCTGAATGTACAGATTATTCGTTAAGCATTAAACCTATTCGGATTTAGCATTGGAGAAACATTTACCGAACTAGCGCAGGAACAAGAGTTATGAGTAAGAACGCTGGATTTTAAGTCCTACTGCTTCGGAAATTAAAACGAATCAATACTGTGATTTACCAGAAACAGCTTGATGAGCCCGAGACAATCAGAAAACAGGCTGAGCCCATGATGAGCCTGTAAAAGTCTTGGATCTTCTGAAATGTAAAGGGTACCGTAATAATCTGGTGAGATTGTATCATTGTGTTGCCTCTAGAAGCCAAGAAAATGTTGAGGGCCTTGCCAAGCTCATCCAAGTAGGAAGGCAGGCTACTGGTGTAGTCATTTTTACGCTTAAATCAAGATTTATCGCGTGCTTGACCATTCACTAGGTACCGTGCGACTTATATCATAGGCGGCGGAACGGGGAGGGCACCGGGGCACCGTGCCCCCCTTTGATTTCGGCATTTCATTAGCCCTATGGGCGTTGCATGGAAAGCATGGGACCAAAAGTTGGTAGTTAAGGTGTTCAGCCGCTACTGACTTATATATCAATTTCTCCTCTAATCCAAGCACCTTCCCCATTCATTCCTCACCTTCTAATTCCTCCTCGTCCTCTCCTTCTTCCTCCTCCATCCTCCCGTGGAGCCGCTCCTCTACACTCCGTTCCTCGTCACTGGTCTGTAGGCACGCCAGCTGTCCAAACTGGTCTGATGACGTCTCGGGATCGTACTGGTCCGGTGACGTCTCTGGATCGTACTGGTCTCCGCCGCCGTGGTCGGACCTCAGGTCCAGGAATGACCACTGGTCCCCCGTCTCGATCCCGCTCTGGGCCATCGCTGCGGGCAGAGGGAGTTTAACTGTTTATGCCTGAATTCCTTGAAATGGATGGTGCTTGCACCAGGAAACATATATCAAATATGAGGAACCTGTACCGACAAAGAATTGGGAAATTAAACTGAAATATGCTAGATACTTGTGCAATAGGAGGAAGGGAAGAGGACTTAAAATATCAGCCAAGATTCCATTGAAGTGAAAGCATTCAAAATGAAATGTGAGTGGGAAGCTGCATTAATTTCATGCCTATTCATTTTTTTTTTGTATTTTGGCACGTAATTTATGCAATGGCTCCAACCAATTATGGACATCCTGAGGGCTGTTTACGGACCGTGTGCAGTCGGACCGCACACAGCCTCCAAGCTCCATCCACTGCGTACCTATGTCAGCCTTCCGTCACCGCACACAGCGACCGCTGTGGCTGGTCGGGACCGGCCATAGCGGACCGTCCACCGCACGCAGCCGTGACGTCAGAACCGCCTACCCATCCCCTACCCCCACGCCTGCTGCACACACCTCACACACCACACTCGGCAGTTTGAGGTGCCCATCATGAACACCCCTTAGCTTTGGTATCTGAACCACTTGATGATATATAAGTTGGATCAATGAATTTGTTAACAGTTGACTTACCCATTGCCAGTGGGTCATCCCCATAGCCAGCAAGGTGGGAGGGCTTAGCCTCCTCGTCGAATCTCTCCATTGCCGGCCTGCAGGGATGTGTGGACGAAGGGCATCCAATGTATTCTGAAAAATGAAACATTTTGGCCATTGAGTGCTTAAAAAAAGTTACGAACCTTATTCATAAAACCAAAATTCAGCAGTTTTATTCAGTAAAACCCAAGGGCTAAAAAACTGAAGGGGAATAACAACGACAAGCATGGCACATGGCCAACAGCAATTTCATTTCAATCACATAAAAAACAGGGCATTGAATGACTAATTTTTCATCAAAAACATAACTTCGTCAGATGTGATAAGTCAATGTGTTTCAATGTGTTTTGTGCAAGGCTATGTTTTGTGTAAGGGGCATGTGGAATCGAAAATTTGCATCTCCAACTGGCGAATACGTCTCATGTGCGCCATTTCATCAAAAATCATATTTTACACAAAACAGGGTGTGAAATACCAATCATTCGTTACAATGGGCACTAGATGCAACAAATAAAAAGCAATTTCAGCTAATATATTATCGAAGCACCAACCTACCTTACGGAAAAAGCGTGGTCGTAGGACTGCAACCTTCACGACTCGAAAACGTCTCTCCAAAAATGTCTCATAAATCGAGTCTCAACTCAATTCATTTGCTCGAGCGGCGACTTAATCTTGAGCCTGGGCGATTTTCCAACTGTAATAATCGCCCACCGCAAAAACAAGACGAATCCGCAAGACACTCAACCCGTCACAAATACGTCACCCTTTCTGTCATGTCACGTGATAACCCTGCCAAGGACAATTTTCAGCAAAGCTGAACGCTACTGACATCTAGCGCGACTATTTCGAAACAAGTAAATTATAGAGGTCAGCACAAGCAACTGAGGTCGACTGAAGCCCAGCTTTGGGAATAGGGAGGAGTTTTGGGACCTTGGAACCAACTTGAGACGGACCAGTCAGGTTTCAGGCTGGACTATTGAGTCAGTCAGTTCCTCAATTGTTTTTCTCGGATGAGCAATTCAAATCGATGCGTACCTTCACATTGAACATAACCTCTACCTACCAGCAGAGGGATGTTTTCGAGTGAAGCAAAGCATTCCGAGCAGTCTGTCGTCCGCTATCTCAAGAAAATGATAATTGATAAGCACGAGGAATAAACGATTTGATCACATTCATCACCCCGGATCTTAGCTTTCACATATTATCCGTTTTATTTCATAGCCTCACTCCCGAGGTAGAAATAAAGGAGTTCGGAAGGACATGGAGAAAAACATGATAGAAAGGTGGCCTTCAGATTATCTAATATTGCACCGCTCTCATAATTTCTCATTGACCCATGACCCTCTGATCATAGAGTAAGTGTCCCAGTTTGTCGATTTGAGCATGAAACGACATCCAAATGAAAATAATTTTCCACTCCCACAGTCCCACCTTCAATTTTCAAGACCAACTCTCCAGACTCCAACCCCAATTCCATCCACCAAGAGCAATTGCGTGGATAGCTATTTCGCACTCTACTATTGATTTTTTGATCATTTTCCGCTTTTTTTGGACCTTACCTGACCGACAATTTTTCACTCTCGTCCCCTTTTTGGTCAGCAATTTCCCCTCTGACACCCAAGTAAAACTATAAGTTAGGGACACGCCTTTTTTTGTTTCAAGCTATCCACACACGGGTTCAGTACAGTAGTATGGTGTATTCGGTCTCTGGCGGCCTCCGGGGCCACACATGCGCACACCTGGCGTATATAAAACACGACACTTCACAGACGCCCTGCAGTCAGGGCCATGCTGATCGTCACATGTACACGATACCGCCCCCGCCCCCGCCCACAGCGGGCGCCAGCCGGCCGCCCGGGCGGCCAGTCAACAGTCACATCAGTCACACACAGCAGTCAACCGAGCCGCCCAGTCACTCTCAGTCCAAACCAGCTGTGATTAACCACAGAATCAAACGGCGCTCATGATAGATCCACACATCAGCGATTGAGTATATGATTATATCTGCGACCAGAGATAACTGATCACTGAGCAGAGCAACAACCGTAGTTCACCGTAGTTCAACCGTAGCGCGACGACTTTCGGATTCATTTGGAGTCGATCGGAAAGCGCTGAGCAAACTCATCTTTGGGTAATCAGTGTGTTCGATTCGGCTTGCTATCGTCAAAGCAAGGGGATGACTGTGTGATGACTGAATCAACGAGGTATGACATATACCACACGATAACTTAACACAAATTGTGACGTGATTCGTGATTAAATAACCTATCAACACATTGTGCCAGTGCTGCTAGTTGCTACTGTGTTTCGTAAAACTAACTACGCCAACGCATTGACTGCTAGTTATCTAACTAACGCAGCATAACTAAACACGAGGAGGGTTACAACGTGGGGGTTAAGCGAACGACGGAACATGAGATCCAACAGGACAACACAGGGGAAAACTCGCCGGCGCTCAACAAAAACTACGACGCACTGAAACATGCCCTAAAAGACACACACTCCAAATCAAAACTCACCCCTAAACGGCGACAAACTAAATCACAAAGAAGGTTCTAAACTAAGGGTCACGCCAAGACGGCAGGGGAGACAGTTGATCAACTAAAGCGTCTGAATTGCCTCAGAAGCGTAATGTGTTGGTGGCAGTGAAACAGAGCTCATCAGGCGCCCGCCCACATCTCATACATTCGCTCACACATCTCACAAGAACGCTCACAAATACGCTCACTGACGCTCAAACATCTCACAAATACGCTCGTCGCTCTCAGACGCTCACAGAAACTCACTCAGCCGGTCAACTCACTGATCCAGCACGGAAAGTCGCACAAACAACGCTTACCGAACAGCGAACGCATACCGCAAAACATACTGCAACACATCATCGCTCACACAGGGACATCTCGATAAATACCAAATACTCACAAATACGTACCTCACACTCGAAGGAAGCATTTCCGGCACAGTTTCATCCACGTACGCATGCTTTATCCACACATATATCGTAAAAAACACACTCCCGCCGTACGCACATCCATTTAGCTCACACTCGAGTGAAAACCTTCAACCAGCTCGCCGTTTCGCCCAACAGCGCGGTAACTCGCCAAGTTTCTCTGGCCGTATCCTGCCGCGCCAGCCGAACATACAGACACACAGACAGACAGACAGACGTGCAGGGGCGGCCCCGCCGGGCCGGTTATCACAGAGGGGTGCGCGGTCCACGGCGCCTGTCCTCCCTCCGTGGGACACCTCGGTCCACCATAGAAAACCCACCCTGTCCCGTCACCCACCACCCACCGTCCGCCGTCCAGGCACCAGCACAGACATGAAGATCAGCCGGCGCCGCGCGCGCGAGCTATGTACAACAGGAGGCCGCGGCGCCCGCTAGAAAACATCCCCGGCGCGACGACCCATCAAAGGCGCCGCTCACGGCCATCCACCAATCAGAAGCCGGCGCTGATAAGAGGCGACCAATCAGCATCTTGCGCTGCCGCCCGCAAGTCGAGGGAGCTCGCAGTACATGATTCCGTTATTTCCTTCAGTCGCCAGCCAATGAGCTCACGCCAGACAAACCACCAGCCAATCAGAGAGCGAGGACGTTCCGATGCCGGCCAATCACATGCCAAGGCGCTCCGCCGTTCGCCAATCACAAATCCACAGATTTCAACACAACGTCAATCGCATTTCTTTCCACAATTCTTCCACCAGTCCACATCTATTCAATTTTCCAAACATGATCGAAGTCTTGTTCACTTCTCACCAATCAAATTTCTCGCAAGACCATTTTCCACCAATCACACACCTTCGTTCCCCGCTCTCCACCAATCACACGCCTCCACTGTCCGCTCTCCACCAATCACGTGCGAGCCCTGCATCACAACTCGGTCCGCCGATCAAAGTTGATGTTCTGCTCGGCGCAGAAGTCTCTGGTCAGTGGCAGACAGTTGAGGTACTCACACACCTTACATTCATAGAAGGGCGTCACGTAGAACAGCACCAGCAGGAAGAGGATCAGCAGCGTCACCGTGGTCACACACACGGCGATCAGCACCTTTTTGCGCGCCCGGTCGTACGGCCCGAACGACACGTACGGCAGTAGCGCGTACGACAGCAGAAAGCCGACGATAAAGCCGAATATGTGCGCGTAGTTGTCCACCTGAAAATGGGAGGGTGGCGTCAGGACCAGGCAAAGCCGGGCTTTTTTAAGGGGGACGGGGCGCAAAACTCAGCTGATTTCAACTTCAAACACAAAACAATTCCAGACAAACAAATAAGAAAAATTTGACTGGTTGTATCTCGATACCTTAAATGCTCTGAGACATCTCAGTTGAACGTCTCTAACGTATCTGATGCATTGATACACAGAAGTCAACTTTGTATATAATCGGGTGCGTTCAATAATGCATAAGAGATTCGTTTCTCATTGAAGGGCGTGAGCCAGGTGAATATCAGAGGCCCAGCTGTAACATCGATTCGTCTAAATACGCTACATAATACTACATTTATGTCTCGTCGTTTCGCATGCGTTTGACACAAGACTTATTATTAAGTCTTATTATTCGCTTTGTTAATCTTTTCTGTAAAGCGGTTCCGCATTTAATCCTCAAATCGCCACATAACTCAGCGCAAGGAGCTCACCCAAGGCAGGAGTCCGATGAGGAACAATACGAATGTGAGTCCGAGCAGCCGGAGCAGGGCGCGCCACGGCCGCTGCAGCATCGGCCACACGTTGATCACCTCGACAAAGTGGCAGGCCAGGAGGCCGAACTGGGAGCCGGCCGGGCCCACCTGGAGAGCAGAGACACACTGATAGTTACACACTGATCACTGACTGATGGCGGTGAGTGGGGACTGGGACAAAATGGCAGGCGAGGAGGCCGAACTGCGAGCCGGCGGGACCCACCTGAGGGAGGGAACACAGGGTTACAGACAGACTCGAGGGGAGCAGAGACACAGAGTTACAGAAAGATTCGAGGAGAACAATAATAGCAACAACAGCAACAATAACTGGGAGCCGGCCGGAACCACCTGGGGAAATGAAATACCATCACACCACACAGAGTTACTGACAGTTTTACACATCACTGACAGATAGTGGTGAGTGGGGGACTGGGACAAAGTGGCAGGCGAGCAGGCCGAACTGCGAGCGAACCGGACCAGGCTAGAAATAAACCCACAGTTAGTAGCTGCTAAGGGTGGGGAGTGGAGTGGAGTGAGACATGGCCACAAGCCATTATATGGTGGTGACTCAGTAGCGGGTTTTAATTGGGAGCCGGGAGTCGGCTCCCTAAACTGGGAGCCGACACAACTCCAACTAAGGGCGCGAGACTAGGGGTCTGTTCCAGTCGCACTTCCTAACACCTCTTAACTCCTCCAAGATTGCTTTCCTGTTCCAGTGGCAGCTCTAGCCCGTACAAAGCCAAGGAGGGCCCTGCTCCAACCTCATCTATCTTCCTCTTGGAGGAGGTTAGAGGTGTTAGGAAGTGCGACTGGAACAGACCCTAGGCTGGCGATGGGCATGTCATAGCGATACCAGACTGAAGTCCGAGCGAACAATATGAGAAAAACCTCAGAATGAGGGTGGACAACCCACGCCATAGTATGGAGACGCTCAATAACATAGGTACGGCCCTCAAGCAAAAGAGTACTTGGTTAGCCTATGTGCTTTTGGTGCAATAACTTTGAATGACAGAGACACTCCTGTAAAAGGGCTCAATAGAAATGAGAAGGGGGTTCGTGCACACACCTCGGCAATGGTTTTCAACAGCCATTAGACGTATTCATCAATGCAGATCTATTATTGTGATGATGGCAACCAACCACTTAATACCTGGAGGGCCGTACACAAGAAATCCTTTCTCTTCACTATATCCTTCATGACTACTCTCTCCACCCATCCCTTCCCTCTATCCCTACGTCTCTCCCTCTCCTCCATTACCTCGGCTCTGTACGGCACAAATATGGCCGACGCTAGGTTGCCTGCTATGCCCGACACGATGTAGATGATGGCTATCCGCAGGGCGCCTGCCATCTTCTCCAGGTCCCGCAGGAAGAAGAACTGGATCAGGATCGTGAACACCAGGTGGATGATCCTGTAGAACAGATGGGAAGGAAGTCAGCAGGGCGATAGTCATGGTGACGGGCAGATGCCGGACACGCAACGACTGAAACTGGCAGACTAGGGACTTGACAAAAAGTAAAGCCAGCTTATCGTGACACATATGGGGTTAAGCAGAAGACGTGATGTATTTTGTATCCAATAATTGAGCACACGACCTACTGAAAGGTGCATTTATCGATGAAAACGAATGAAAAAAGCAAACCGATCATCAAGACAGTAGGATCGGATTCCAATTTCACATTAGCAAAGATCGAGTCAAATACTATTAACGACGGAAATTGTAAGCTTTGAACGTTAAATTATTCGAGTATTACTCTAAACGTTGTTGACCAGTATCTTTCAAACCGGTCATCTCACCCGGCGTGCAGGAATATTGATGTCCACAGCCGGTAGAACTGATCGGGACTGTCCGGGTCGTAGAACGGTATCATTCCACACACGTCGTCCAAACAGGACACCTGGGGGCGACACCGCGAAACATAAGGTCAGCGTGAGGCAATAACGAAACGGAAAGATGACAGACGGCAATAACGTGACATACGCACATGTCGTCCTTCAGATGGTCAGTGGTAGAGACTGGGACCTGCCCACCTAATGAATGGATAGAGGGACAACTAGCAGCGAAAGAGATAAACTAACGGTCTGTATCATGGCACAGCAAGCACAGCAGTAACGGAAATGTTAGAAAAAAAACTACGATTTGAGAAAACAGACAAACATTAAAAACAGCTGTTACATCACTGGCCGTGACCAACTTTGCCCACTTTATCTCCGTGCTCACAAATATGTTCCCCTTTTAAACCTGCAAACTTTACCTTCCCACCCATTTTTCACCCTCACAGCCTCCTCTCCCTCTCCCCTCTCCCCCTCACCTGTGAGCAGAGAGCGGCCTCCTCGTGGAAGTAGCCCCTGACGAAGTTGCAGTACTCTCTGGTGGTGATCTGACACAGACCGTGGATTCCGACACAGCACGGGTGACCCACCACCTCACAGAGCATGTGTTCTGCCGCCTCGCTGCCCTCTGAGGACGAATAGGGCCAGAGGTCAGGGATAGGGGTCAGAAGTCAGGTCACGGGTGGCCCACAACATCACAGAGCATGTGTTCCGCCGCCTCACTGCCCTCTGGAGACGAATAGGGTCAGAGGTCAGGGAAAGGGGTCAGGTCAGGTCACGGGTGACCCACCACCTCACACAACATGTGTTCCGCCGCCTCGCTGCCCTCTGGAGACGAGCAGGATCACAGATTTCAGAGAGGTTTTAGGGGTCTGGGGTCAAAGGAGTCAGAGGTAAGCTGCCCACTGGAAACGGGACGGGTCAGGGGGGTCAGATAGGTCAAAGAGGGGTTATGGTCTCGGGATGACACGTCAGGGGTTAGAGGGGTCAGAAGAGGGTCGGCGGTCAAAGGGACAGGATCAGGTATCCGCGGTTAGTGCTCATAAGTCCGAGATCATTGCCCGAACAAAAGTGAACAAGGCATGGTAGGTAAGAAGATTAGCCGATGGGCATGGAGCAAAAGTAAAACAATCATACAATTCAAGAGCTAAACACGGCAAAAGGAAGAGTCAAAAAGGTAGGATATGAGACCTACATACGAAGTAACTGAGTATGAAGTAACTGGACGAGCACGCGAGCTCGAGTCATCAAGTTCGTGTTAAGATTCAAACAAACTCAATGAGTACATACAATTATAAATGTAACAGGAAAGCCATTAGCATGACAAGTTGAACCCGTGTTATTGAGAACAAGGCTCGTGTCGCTCCCGTGTCACTTACCGGGCGCGACGGACGTTTTCCTACAGATGGGCCATTTGGTGATATCATCGGGCCACTCATAGGGCGCCCGGCTGCCCGGCTCGGCACAGTAGCTGCGGCACACAGGGTCACGGCGGTCAGACTAGAGGTCACGAGGGTCAGGCTAGGGGTCACGGGGGTTAGGCTGGGGGTCATAGGGGCTACACTGGGGGTCATAAGGGCTAGACTAGAGATCACGGGGTCAGACTGGGGGGTCACGAGGGTCAGAATGGGGGTCACGGGGGTTGGACTGGGGGCCACTGGCAAATAGAGGGGTAAATTCACAACGAATTAACTTGGGAACGAAAGATCCAGAGGGCTAGACTGGGAGAGGGACGGAGAGGTCACTTAAATTGGAAGGACCATGGTAGTAAAAGCGGGGTCACAGGGGATAAGGCTGGAGATTAGACTGGGGGGAGGGGTAGCGGGGTTAGACTGGAACGAGGAGCGCACACGGTAGGTTTACACTTGGGACGAAGGGTCATGGGGGGTCACTACAGCCTAATAAACCGTACATCCAATTACCAATGCAATGCGGTATTGGCCGTTATCCAACAATGACTTCCCTGAAAAAAATTGCGCAGAATGATTGAAAACACCCACACCAGAAGCCCACAAATGGGCCAATTTCTCACGGCGTAACTAAGCGTACTGACCCTTCCGGTCGCCGGCTGTTGCCAGGCTCCGGGCTGAATTCTGATACCCCGGCGGGGCCGTCGCTAATGGAATTTCGCAGTCGAACGGAGTTCAGTGAACGCCTTATTCGAGTAGCAGTCACCAATCACGATCGAAATCAGCAGCGTCGTGCCGGAAATTTCAGTGTAATCATCAACTCTACATCCTATGGTCATTAGTCAATAGCGACAGCACAGCAACCCGTGCCCGAATTTCTGCAACTCTCGACAGGCCCCACGTGACCCGCGATGGCGCCCGTATTTTCGCACGACACAGCTGGCTGATCCCGAAATCCGAACAACCGGCGCAGTCAATCAATTCCCTCCGAAATCGAGTAGAGTCTGCCCACCCTGTTCCCAGCTTCGGCTCGCAGGCCGGGCGGCGCTCAATAACGCAACAAAGCCGGCCGGCGCGTTCGCTAATCACGTAACGCGTCAGCCGCCGGCCGTTCGATATGTGGCGCTCGGCTGCTGCCGGCGGTGATGGAGCCGATGGAGCCGCCTGGAGGAATGGGGACAAGTGTTTCGTCCACGACCCGGGCAGACTCGGGGCTGAGTTTGGGCCGAGATCACGCCTGGGTAAGGCGAATGAAGGCAGGAGTCAGCGGGTATAGGCACTAGCTGTATGGGGTGCAAGCGCGTAGCTAGAACCAACATAAGTGAAACATAGGTGAACATCCTGGGTGAAAATGCATACCGCATGGGGCCGGGTAAGCATTAGGTGGATGTGCAGTTGATCATGACTCAGGTAGATGGAGTACAAATTGAAAGAAAAAACAAAATCATGAGGTTTTTAAACCAAGCACCAATGCTCAGCCGGACAGCGGTTCGGTTCATATCCCCGATCCCACAATGGATCAACATCCAGGTTCAGTTCGATTCATCGAAGTCACAGCTAGAGATTGCAATCCCGGAACGTTTTGCCAATCCCGGGATCCCGAAAGTTTTTATTTCGGGATCCCGGGATCCCGGGATCCCGGTCTTGTCACTGTAGGTCGTAAGAATAATTTCCTACTGACATATTTTGCGTCTTTTAGCTTACCACAAACAAAAAGGCAACCAAAAGCCATCCCTAGACCATTTCATTTGCAATAAACACGATTGAATTTGCGAAAGAAACGTTCCGATTTGATTAGCATTACCCCAATTGGCCTTAATAAAACTGTGCGCCGACCAGTGCGTTTTCTATCTCGTCATTCAGACGGGTTCCAGCACATCCACGCCTCACTCACTCTTCGTGTACGCTACTCGTAGTTAGCGCGACAGTTTTAAGCCATTGCAGGTAGGTCTGACTACTCGCGACCAGTGTAAATACGCCAAATTTGGCAGCTCCCTATTTCACAATGTTTTCAAGACGTCGCTTGGTCACTTCACCTCCCGGTTCCGCTCATTCATCACTGATGTCTCTCAGACTTTGCTCCAAAGTCGCTTTGAGGGCAGAGCCACTGACTGGGAGAGCTCCACTCTACCGTCTTCAACGTTTGAATCGGTGAGCTCTGCCGTCACTTGCGTGACATCTGTGACATCTTTCTGCGACACGAGCTCAAACACTGTCTTGATGACCTCTTTTGTTCCGGCCACGGACGGATAAGTCAGAACCGCTGAACGATCCGTGACCCTGATAGAGATGTTGCTGCACTGATGCTGCAATTTTTTTGGCGTTCGGGACCCTTTTTCGTACACATTTAAGCGGCTTATCCGCTGTGGGTGATACCCGGGAGCTACCAACACGGTCAATTGTGGACGGCCGATGCGGGGTGCCAGCTAAATAGTTTCTATGCTTTATGTCACGCAGCACCATGAACGGTGTAAACAAGACTCGTGCAGCGGCTGCATTCTTTTTATGGTGAAAAACTGATTTTTCGGGATCCCGGGATTGGCGGAATTTCGGGATCGGGATCGGGATTAAAATCCCGCCGGGATCCCGGGATCCCGATCCCGGGATTGCAATCTCTAGTCACAGCCCATCCACGGTTGGTTCATATCCCACCCCTTATTCACAAGCAAGCCAGCCTATCTGTAGGAATCTTGAGCCAGCCCAGCCAACGTAGCTCGTCTACCAGTCCATCAAAACAAACCTTCAACCTGGCAAATATGTAGGTAGCAAGTACGCTGCACTGTCTTAAGGTCACGACACACCCAGTGCGCGGGGCACAGGGGTCGTGACCTTTGCCCTATGATCCATACGGCGGCCGGCTGGGGTCACAGGGTCACCGTCTCAGGCCAGTGACGCTCCTGAGTGCGCTATTGTGCCCACTCGTTTGTCATGCAGAGGATGGGGCCACGGGTTGTAAGAAGATCATCGGCCAGTGGACAAGAAAGGACGCTCTGGGGCATACGGTTTCAGGATAAGTGTTGTGTATGCCTCATGGCTCATGGGTGTGATATATTTGTCCAAAAACGGGTGTGCGACTGCGTAGTGGCTGTGAATATATGATAGCTTAGATTACAAATATAAGCGACTCGAAACCTACACAAAGATAAAAACAGCCAAAGCAGACGGGCTCTTAGTCACGACAAAATGGCATGCCTCTCAGCCAGTCAAAGGCTCTTGAGACTCGTCTTTACAATGATGCTGCTTGGCTAGTAAAGCCTCCCCCCTCCCCATCCAACCTTAGGCATCTCTCGAACTTCATCCTCTGTCAACTCCGTGGGTTTACAAAAAAAAAAAAATGGCCATTTGAGCTGTTGACCTCCATATTAACAGCATTATAGCATAGATATCCAATACAAAGTCGAGTCGTTTTCCTGACTCTTCAGTGAATTCCGCCCAATGCCGCCACTACAGTCACAAATCAGCACCTGTCCTCCGCCCATCAAACAAATGGCCCCGGGTTAACCAGGAAAGCCGCCGACGCCGCCCGTTAGGGCCCTCAGCGGTTAACGATCAGCCGGTCCGTCGGTCGATGGAACAGGTCGATCGTCAGCTGATTTAGAGACGCGGTACTGGCGTGGTTAGAATTGTCGTAGAAACGTCAGTGGTTCTACATTTCAAGCTATTTTCTACGTCAGTCATCTTGTGATACGTTCAAGCCAGCATCGCTAGCCATGTGGAGTCCATACCATACATCAAGCAAATATAACATTCCCATATCCCAATGGAAAATCAGTGTTAAATAACAAACGCAAATGAAAATTCGTGCGGATGAAATATCCGAACCAAATTGAAGTCGGAATAAAATGCAGTAATGACAGCACATCAATTTAGAGCCCTTTATACACAGATTTCTTGACAGTCACTTTAAATAATCCCGGAACTCATCCAAATCCCCCTTATAACTATTCTTCCAGTGTAATTCCTCTGAATTCTGAGCTACCAGAAACATCGTCCCGAATCACATCCGGAGCCCACACGGATCCAGACAATTTCAGATCAAACCCGGACCCCAACCCGGACACAACATTCCACAGCAAGAGTGAGAGTCGCCCCACTGCTATAAGCGCTGAAATGAGCCTCCCCACCTTCCGGAAACCAGCAGCTCCACCGAAAACCAGCCACCTTCTGCTCTCAGAACACGGGGCGGAAATGGAACCCATCTGCCGCGCCGGCGCCAGATGCATGGAACGCCGCACCGGAATTTCCCATTCGCGCCGCCTCCATATATCAATCCACACGTCTAATCCTGTTAGGGGCCTCCCTACGGGGCGGGCTAGAGTGGTGGCAGCAGAGCTGGGTCTCATGAGGACAGGGGTCAGCCAAGGCCGCGGCCAGGGGGTAGGGGGGGGGGGGGTATGGGTGGGCTGCGGAAGTCGCGAATGGCATTAGCAGAACGCAGGACAGTTTCGGAGAGTTATTTTCAGTCTTATCACTCGTTCGATCAAGGTCTTCCGGAAGCTGTAAATCTTGCAGGAACCTCTCGCGGACAGATGAAGCTATGAAGTCGACACCCGACTCGCTAAATTTCTCACGACGTTCGGTAAATGGTCCGTCCATTGATCCATTCATAACAATGCTACCCAAATGGTAGAAAAGGCTTGATAAGACTGATAAAACCAGCAAAACGTGCACGACTCGCAAATAAGCAAGTGGTGCGATTTGCATAAACATTATACAGGCTGATGAGAAACAACATTCGTGCTTGTTACGGAGCGAGCGAAGCAAGCGTAGTCTTTCCTTAGATTAACAGAAATTTCTGAGTATGAGCGGCCGGCCGGCCGTGCGGACGCTTTTGCGAGGCTTATATCTCAGCAACCACTTGACCGATTTACATGCGGTAATTTTTGTAGGGTAGCTTCATTCCTTCTACCAAGTATTGGACTATTCCCGATGCATGTGAATGACCCCTTATGCACGTGCCACGTGCAAAACGAAGAGGTGTCAGTTTTGTAATTGTTGCAAAATCTCGGTAACTACTTGGCCGATTGCGCTCAAAGTTGGCATGTAGGTAGGCACCCACTAGGCACTGCATATCCATGTGTCAGAGTTGGGGTGCTGCTGCACGTGCGCACGTGCAGGGGTCGATTCCAGATCTCGAGAACGACTGGACCGATTGCGCTCAAATTTGGTACACGGTTACGGAGCAGTTAGTAGGGTGCCGTGCACAAGTCAGTTGGGACCCATTTTGCACGTGCGCACGTGCAGGGTGCCGCTTCCAGATCTCGAGAACGGCTGGGCCGATTGTGCTCAAATTTGGCACATCGCTAGAGACCGGTTAGTAGGGTGCCGTGCACAAGTCAGTTGGAGGTACCCCCTCGCAATTTCGCACGTGCAAGGCCCATCCTCTCGCTCGCTCCGTTAGTCGCCCCAAAAGGCGTTATACTGGTAACTATAGTTCGTTTTTTTTTTCAAAAGGACGCTGGCTCAAAGTGCAATATCGAAGCTCTCACGTGTGTTTTGGCAGCTTCAGTGTCTGGCCAAGAATTTCTTACCGGAAAAATGACCGATTTCAAATTGTGCACAGTAAGTAGCTGGAAATTGTTTCTTAAAAATGAACATACTATGATGACGTCACTGGTGGCAGCAGGCACCCAAATGTCCGTGCAATGGGACAAGTGTCAACGAATTTGGGTGAAACTTAGTTTTTCACTGTTGCCGAGCATAATCGAGTAAGCGGTTCCGTCCATGATAGTTATACGTTACATTGCAATACGTGTTCGACAGCATGACGTCACCACTGTCCCCATCTGGTTCCAAAACGCACATATGGAAATCATCGGGAAGAAATAACATGTTAAAATTAGTCGACGTTCGATTTTCTCAGGTTCAGTTTTAGCTTTTTTTTTTAGCAACCATTTCTCTTTATTGTGCTATTTAACAGAAAGTACAAGCTCACATGCATAAACACATTAACCACATGTACCCATACGAACCGCCGGTGCCGCTCAGAGCCTGTGCTCCCTGGCGCGGCGGTTACAGCGCCCCGCCGGCTCCCTCTGCGCTGACCACTTGGTTATATAGGTCTTTGTGGAGGTAGAAGAATATGTAGCCGTTTCTCTGGTGTCCCTCGCCCAGAACGTTGGCCTCGTCGACACAGCTGACTCGGCTATCGTTATAGTGGTACCAACGGTTCCTGCCGACGCTGTAGACGTCCGACACGTAGTGTCCGGAGTGCGTGGCGCCGCCGTAGTGGCTGACGATGCCCACCAGCCGGTAGGTAAAGTCGCCGGCCAGGTCCACTGAGCAGAGAGACTGGCCGTCTTCCACGCAGAAATCCGAGAGATGTGCCTGCTCCGAGGTGTCGGCCGGCGCTCCCTTCCCCAGCGACCTCACGATGGCTTCCTGGAGCTCGCCATCTTCGTCCTCGCGGGTCCGCGCCGGTTTGGACTCGGAGTCAGCGTCCAGCACCACCAGCTCATCCTGCGCTGGCGGCGGCGGCGGCAGCGGCTCGGCACCGGTCGCCGGTGAAGAGGGACGCGCCGGCGCTGCGGTTCCGGCCGACACCGGCGATCCGGCGGCGGCGGACTCCGGCGGGCCGGCGCTGGCGGTCGGCACTGATGACGGTCCACAGGCGGCGGGCGGCGGCGACGGACCCGACCTGGGCGCCTCAGACTCCTCGAAGTCGGAGAGGGTGCACAGGGCACTTCCTCGTTTTGGCTCGTTGTGTTTTAGCTCGTTTTGGCGGCTAAAACACGTGCTTGTTCGAAAAACATACTTGGAGCCAGCGTCCTTTTGAAAAAAAAACGAACTATAATCGTGATTCTTTGGCATTTTTCCTACCATCTGTCTTCAGTCATTCCTACGAAATCAGGCTCTGAAAACGCACTGATTTGAATATTGCATCTACCCTTGTAAGAGAGGTCACCTACCAGCCGTTGTAACAACATTGTTTTCCTATTCCTTGCGATACGACCCCAAGTTCTCCACTCCCCTCCCCCCGCAAATACTCACTGAGGGTCCAGTCCACACACGGGTCCCGATACTCTGCCCTCGTGGCCTCCGCTCCTGAGCCACGACTTGAAGGTGCTGATTGTGCGCTGGAAACGGGCAAGGCGTCGGCGTCAGTTGAGGTCGTACAGGGGTCAGAAAGGGGTAATAGGGGTTTCACCTGCAGGCTACAATGATCGTGGAGGTCATACGGGGGTGGGGGAGTGGGCATGTTGGTCATAGAGGGCTATTGAGGGCTACATGGGGCTGCAGGGGTCACGTGTGGTCAAGTCACCAAGAAACACAAGGGCCAAACGATGACAAGAATCACGTTGAATGATTCTCGAAGTTAGCAGTCACTCCTCAATGGAATTCGCTATCTTGTTACAAACAAGTGGGAGCAAAATCTGTAAAGAAAAGTTGTCATCTGGTGCGGTGTCATGCCGCTCCTTGGATGCCGCATTCCCCCCTCATTCCATCTGAGACTGTAAAGAGTGCAAGTCGCCACCCGCCCACCCCGTCAGCCCTCAGACCCATGGCCGATATATCAGCCAACAACGAAATGAAATGCTCCTCTCGGCTTTTAGTCGATTGGGCTACGGAGCAGACGAGCGACCCGGCAGGCTAGGCTGTGTGCATACATTTGGTAGGGATTAATGGATGCCAGGTCATGTGCTGGCATGCACGCTCCAAATGTGGCTTCCTGCAAGAGCTTGGTACATAGGAAGGATCCTGTTGCATGTTGCTACAACCGGCTGGGGGATAGTAATTTAGGACATGTTTACTGAACTTAGACATCGAGTAAACATTTACAGCGGAGGCTAACGATGAAAGGAAAGTGGTAAATGAAAAAAATGAAGTTCTGCTCCTTTAAGGTCTCACAAGCTGGCTCCTCTTCGGCTGAAATCGTTAACGACCGACGAGATGCCGGACAAGAGAACATGTCCCGCTTGTATGGTCTCAGGTGCACAGAAAGGTGCGCACGCACAACGCACGTGGGTACAACAGAACAGTGCAATTCAGTGCAATAGCAAACACGACAATGACAAGTGATGTGTGCCTCGTACCACCGCTTAAAGTCATAACCGAGTCATTAACAAAATCACCCAACATAAATAACACATAAGATGACACAACGTCAATTTCCCACGTCAATTCCTACAATGCCCATTTCCCACGATACACCAAGTTGCAAATCCCTAAGAACAAGCGAATCCCTTCACAAGCTCATGCTGAGCTAATCAAACATTCAATTCAACAGCCTCACATCAAAGCAATCTTGCTGCGGCACGCTAACCTCATTTCTTTTCCACATCCACAGACCTATTTACAGCATGCACCCAGCCCACGCTACACAAAGTAGCACCCAACATCTGCCATGCAGCACATGCAATTGCACATATTCTGAGAGAACTAAGAGCATCATCTTGGCACTGAGCCAATCTCAGGAGTTGCTGGAAAGACGTCGTCTGTACAGCCCCTTGTGGGAGTAGGGAGGAAATGAATGAAATTCACTTTTCTTAAAATTCAGCAAAGGTACCGACACGACTATTGTAGACTGGCTTACTGGCCAACTATTTCTGGCTCAACCGCGCTGAAGGCAGCGCCCTTCACTCAGTTGCGGTAAGATTAAAATAGTGACCTTTGTGTCACGGATGAATATTCTTTTGTGCTATACACAATCAAACGAAATTCTGAAGCGACCACAAGTGCGGCAGCCCTCTCCACATAACGCCCGTTTATAGCAGTGCGGTTATTGCGATATCCCATCTCCCAGCTCTCGGCGCAATGCGTATGGCAGCCTATATCGCACGCAGTCCGAATAAGCGGTAAAGGTTTCCCTTCAAGGTAAATAAATCTCTTCAGGTTAGTCGGTCTGGCGCCCAGCTGCCCGTCCCGTGCTATTCGCCCTCTCAATACCTTCACGTCCTCAGGAAAGACATTGAGCCTCCACCACTGCTGCGGCTGGAATGCAGGACCTTTGGATGCCCCTGATAAAATGACGACACAGATACAGCCTGATGCAGCTTCCGCCTTAAGCCTGAAACAGACTCTTTCCGCAGTCAGGAAATCGCATGCGAGAGCCTATTCAAATACATGGAAGCACGCTCGCATCAATCGCACGCACCTCCCGCAAGCGATTGATGCGAAAAGAATTACAATGTATTTGAATAGGCTCTCGCATGCGATTTCCTGAACGCGGAAAGAGTCTGTTTCAGCCTTTACATACATAAAATATCAGCCAGGAGCTCCATCGGTAGTACGCACTGAAATTCATGCTATTTGAGGGCGTTTGGCTAGCCACTGATGCCTGATGTGAAAAATGTTAGGTATTTAGGTTAAGTGCAAGGGAAATTCAGCTTTTATGCTGTGGTCTGCAGTTCACGATACTGTCGTTATCAATACCGAATGGTACACAGCTTGATCTACGTAGCACAGGCTTCAACGCAATTATAGTAAGCGGCAAAATAACCCTTATACACTACTTTCTAACAGCTAAGGGACAAAAGCGAGCTATTGTTAGCGTAACGGCGAAATAAATAAAAAACGGGTTAATCAACACTGCAATAATGCCGGGATTCCCACCTATAACGCTAGGCTACCAGTGATAATATTCAATACAGTCTGAAAAGTTGATAATTTGTAACGAACTTTATGCCTTTCGTGAACCCTTCCCAACAACATAAAGTGCAAAACAATTGACATCAACACAATCCAAACACTGGAAGAATCTACACAAAAATCACAAACATCCCGAACCTTTCTACCGACTACCGAGCACCCCCCATCCACAGGCGCACAGTGCGAGCAACAAAACACATCCGGCGGCCAAAAAATAACGAGAAGAGTCGTTCCGAAGTTTCCGGCCCATTCTAGCTGGACGCGGCTACGCGTGCCGCATCGATAGGCCGAGCTGGCACAGACAGTGAGAGAGAATCAGAAACATAGAGCGGTGAGGGCGGGAGGGACGTGCTCGGGAAGGGGGGAGGGACGTACCATGTCTCTAAAGTCGCTCCGCTGCTGCTCGAGGAGGCGCGAAGAGCGATAACAATGTCAGTGGACCTCATCAGAGCACCGGTCACAGACAAGCAGAGTTGACGAATCACAGTCATAACACAGCCCTAACACAGAACTGATAACGCACTAAATCGCCAACCGTTCGGACTGCGTACGCAAAATCTGAGCTTTTCATAAATAAAAATATTTTTCATAGATTGCTTTTAAGCAGCCCTGAATTGATGAAATACCCAGTGGTTAGAAAATAATATGTTAGTTTTTGTTAGGGAATGTCGTCAAGTGGCCTTTTGCAGGCCCAAGTGCGTAGGAGATATTGAGCATTTATGAAAAGTCGTGGATCTGTGAACAGTGCAGAGGGAAACTCCCAGCGTCTTCTTAGGTCTCAACAGGACTTTCGAGAAAATACACATTCAAATGTGCCTCCATAGAATTATAAAAGGTTTCATTAAGATACCCAAGCAAGCTGCCAAGAATCTGACACTGTTCAAATAAAGAATTAATCTATGTATGTCTCCAAGCTTCACAAGTAAGCTCAAGGGTCTCTCACAAAACATCTCAGGAAGATATTGCTACTTGAGCTAACAGTTCTAGGGAAAGCAGTAACAATGGTTGCTCGGAATAACAAGTGCTCGAGGAGGTTCAACTGGGTACAAAATTAAAGCTGCAAAAGTTCTTAAGCCAGCATTAAGATCTCTTTTTGTTGAGAGGAAGCCACCTGATATAAGAAGCGAGCCCCAGCGAATGTTCAATGCCCATAGCTTCACGGATTTAAGGCAGATTTCACGGCCATGGCGAGCCCGAGTTACGGGTTAAATCCTGTCAAACTCACAACCCAACTCCCGTTATCAACACAACACAAAACACAAACTCCCCACATAACTCTTTCCACCCAGGTCTCCCACTTAATCTCCCTCCATACCCCCTTCACTCTCCCACCAATCTCCCATCATACTCCTTTCACCCTCCCACCAATCTCCCGTCATACTTCCTCAATACTCTCTCCATACTCCCGTCCTATTCACACCGTCTCTGGCCTTCCGTCGCTCCCTCCATACTCCCATCATACTCCTATCATACCCCCGTATACTCACACTACAGTCAGCCTGTGCCGATTGTACGCAGCCGCTGCCGTCATTCCGAATACAGCAGGCCGTATCTCTCTCCTTCCATACTCCCCTCATACTCCCTCCAAACTCCCTCAACACCCCTTTACACTCACACTACAGTCGGCCTGCGCCGACTGGACGCAGCCGCTGTTGTCGTTCCTGATACAGCAGGCCGTGTCTCTCTCCTTTCGCCGCTCCCTGAAGATTTCCTTCTGAATTTTCTCGTCGCGCCGCATACAGGGCGCGAACTTGGCACCCAGGTGAATCAGATCCGCCTGTAAGGGTACAACGAGGGGTAAGGGGGTTCAGGGGTCACTTAGTTACTCTCTCGGCTGGTGCTGTGGCGTGCGGGTGAACTGGCCTATCGGTGGTGCTATAAGAATGAGACAATTCTATTCCGTTGTTAAACGGGAGTGTTTCAGGTGTACTAGTTGCTGGGACCATTTCTCACTTGCTGTGGGTGATAATGCATCTTTATTCGATTTGTATACTTAATTACATGCTCTCTTATTATCACAATATGCTTCGTTCATCTGGTTGAGTTGGAGAGGAGCTAACATTTCAGTAATGGGTTGTTCAGAAATAGGCATCAGTATCGCAGTGGTAGCAGCATGGGATCATGCATTCATAGTTACCACAGCTGCGCGCCCTAATGAAAGAAACTATATAAAAAGAGGTCTGACTTAGACGATGGAAGACAGCTCAGAGCATTAAGACCAACATAGCAGCCTCACAAACGTCAGATGCACGCGGAAACTCTACATATGACAGAAAGACAGGTGGATTGATGCAGTGAACATGACGGACAGTCAGCAGCTATCACATGTCGCGGCCCTTTTACTGATCCATGTCGGACTAATGGCAAAAAGAGGTACGACTGGCTAGGATGTCAGGTAGGTTTACATGTAGAATAAATAACAAGGATGAACCGCCATTACCCCTTTCCCACTGCCCGCTGGATTACATGGGATTACTAAGCAACAAAAACGGGTCAGGTTTCATGTATGTAATGCATCATCCCAATGCGCAAAGGTAACGGAAAAAGGCAATGGATGCCTCAGCAAAAAGCAGACAACACCGCGCAAAACATATCGAATCCCAGCAACAGATATTGTGATATGATGATAATGCAACTGATAGCAGATGTCTGCATGAGCATTGAGCTAGCTCAGCGTTTTTATATCCCTGGCAAAGTAGCAAAACAACCCCTTTGACAACAGCGACCTAACGGCGCATGGGCGTCATTCTACCCCACTCTGACCAAATCAGACGGCTACCATCGTCACGGAGGGCGTCCTACGCGCGTCAAGCGTCACTATACGCCCCACATGTTACCACCGTGACACTGTATCGTGACGTGACGGAGTGTGACGGGTGTGTTACTCACCGCTCTGGGTCCTAGCCAGAGGTTGGGCGGCTCCCAGTAGTCTACTTGCTGCACTGAAAGACTGATATCCATGACCTGCAGGGGAGACATACGGGTCATATTGATATTAAAAACTGCACTGACAGACTGATATCAATACCCTAAGGAGGGAGCAAGTTGGGACGTCGAGTTAGAAAGGAGGAGAACCGAGCTGGTCAGAACGTAATGGTAGCAAATATATCGGCATGTGAACGAGTTGACTGTACGAAATTTGTGAGACATTTACATAAAATAGTTTTTAGAAGAAAAAAACCGTTTCAAGCATCTTTCGGCAACCACACGCTAGCACATTTTTAGAGTTATAGCTCTAATCTCAACCTGGCGTCTCAACACGGAGCATCCTGACTTCATCATACGTCTTGCCATTGCATAATTCCATCCACTCCTTAGCGCCTCAAACTCACCACACTTCATGCAACACTCAGAAACAGTCTACAAACTCCCTTATCCACGACAACACTTCTTGATTTTACCCACTCCCTACATTACTTTCTCACCTCAACACTCCCTAGCAACCCTTCCTTTAACTTCTCACTTACTGAAAACCCTTCCTTTAACTTCTCACTCCCTGACAACTCTTCCTTAAACTTCTAACTCCCTGACAACTCTTCCTTAAACTTTTCACTCCCTGACAACTCTTCCCACTCTCCAACTCCACTCTCTAACTCCTCTAACTCCATCACCAACTAACTCACCGTGCCACTCTGCTGCTGCAGTTCGAACCCGATCGGCCCGAATCCGTAGCACGCCAGCGAAATGAGCATCACCAGAAGCTGCACGGTGGTCACCCAGTAGGTGAAGTAGGGTCGGTGGTCCTCCAGGTCGTCCATCTGGGCCACTACGTCCGACCGGGCCGTCACAGAGCGACGCACAGAGCGGCCGCTGAGGGAGGGGCAGAGGTCAGATCAGGTCACTGACCGCGCGGTCACAGAGCGACGCACAGAGCGGCCGCTGGGGGAGGGGGAAGGGGGAGTCAGAGGTCACCAAGCGGCCGCTGAGGGTCAGAGGTCACATAGGGTCAATGACCAGGCGGGCACAGAGCGACGCACAGAGCGGCCGCTAGGGGGGGGTCACAGGTCAGAGGTCAGAGGTCGTCCATCTGGGCCACTACGTCTGACCGAGCGGTCACAGAGCGACGGACAGAGCGGCCGCTGAGGGAGGGGCAGAGGTCAGATCAGGTCACTGACTGCGCGGTCACAGAGCGACGCACAGAGCGGCCGCTGAGGGGTCAGAGGTCAGATAAGGTCACTGACCGAGCGGTTACGGAGCAACGAACAGAACGGCCGCTGGGGGAGGTCGGAGGGGGTGAGAGGTCAAATAAGGGCACTCACTGACCGGACAGTTGCTGCAGAGCAGCGAATCGAACGGCCCCTGTAAGAGGTCGGGTGTCGGGTCATCGACCGGTCGCTGAGGGGAGGGGGGCAAAAGGACAGAAATCAGGGGTGAGAGGTCAGGTCACCAAACGGCAGATGAGAAAGGAAGGGAATAGGGGTCAGACCACAGGCCACAAACAACCGGCCACTGGAGGTGTCAGAGAACAGAGCAGATATCAGGCTAGATTACATGTCAAAGGCCAGCTAAAGCGGCCGCTGCAGATCTAACCAAAGATCAGGTAGCCGGCTACGTCGTCCATGACAATTTGTACTTTCCGAACCCGAGCGCAAAGCAGTTTTCCCAGAGCTCGGATACACAAAATGCCAGGCCCAATCCGAATTTAAGCCGAGCGCAGGATTGTGCCCTATCGTTGAGCATCATTTCTATAGCAAGTTGCATAACATCAGACTTACCCAAAGAGCCGTCCGGCCAGCCCCCGTCCGTACTGCCGTCGATTGCTGTTGTCGAACACCCGATCCAGCATCTGGGACCAGATTCGCTTGTTGCCGACACCGGGCCCCGCGTCGGTGACGTCGCGGTCCGCCGGCGGCCGCTGCCACTGCGCCCTGGGGGTGGAGAGAGAGGTCAGGTCAGGTCAGATCAGGGTAGGGCAGGGGTTCAGTCACCGGGGCCGCTGCCACTGCGCGCTGGGGGCAGAGAGGTCAGGTCAGGTCAGATCAGGTCAGGGTAGGTTACGGTCATGTAGGTCAGGTCAGGTCAGGTCAGGGTAGGTAACGGTCATGTAGGTCAGGTCAGGTCAGGTCAGATCAGATCGGGTCAGGGTAGGTTACGGTCGGTAACCGGACAAAAAGTCAAAAGGAATAAAGTCAAAAGACAAATAGTCAAAAGACAAAAAGTCAAATGCAAAAAGTCAAACGGGATAAAAGTCAAAAAGATAAAAGTCAAAACGGATAAAAGTCAAAAGACAAAAAGTCAAAAGCAAAAAGTCAAAATGTGCAAAAGTCAAAAACGCAAAAAGTCAAATGACAAAAAGTCAAAAATGCAAAAAGTCAAAAATGAAAAAAGTCAAAAGGATAAAAGTCAAAACGGAAAAAAGTCAAAAGACAAAAAGTCAAAAGCAAAAAGTCAAAACGTGTAAAAGTCAAAAGACAAAAAGTCAAAAATGCAAAAAGTCAAAAGGATAAAAGTCAAAACGGAAAAAAGTCAAAAGACAAAAAGTCAAAACGAGTAAAAGTCAAAAGACAAAAAAGTCAAAACGGAATAAAGTCAAAAGACAAAAAGTCAAAAGCAAAAAGTCAAAACGGGTAAAAGTCAGAAGACAAAAGGTCAAAAAATGAAAAAAGTATCAAATAGAAAAGTCGAAGTCAAAGTCTGAAATAAAAAGTCAAAAGGATAAAAGTCGAAGCATCGATCTTTTCATCTTTTGAAAAATATTATACAGCGCAACGTACCCTACCCACTGAAGTTGTAAGGAACATGTGAGTACGCGAGGGATTCTGACAGGTACCGGGGTTGCTGGGCGCAGCAGCGGGGCAGGAACGCTGGCTGCGGTGGTGGGGCCCACGCTCACATAATACGCGTTGAGCGCTTCCGGCATGCACGCTGGCGCAGCAGCAGTGGCACCCTTCCCCGCCCCGATCACCGGCCGCAGCACTGTCCACATCCTCGCCGGTCCTGCCTCACGCAGCTGGTCAGCATATTATGCCGCGTGGTCACGTCTGATGGCCGCTCGACACTGCCGGTTCACCACCGTATACTCGGCGCGCGGGCCGAGCAGTGCGCGCCGCCGCGCCAGCAGCGCTCGCGTGGCGTCCGTGGTGCGCGGAGCACCGGGCGGCGGCAGCCCCTCCCCCATGGGAGAGGGTGAAAAGCAGTGCCTCCTCTAAGCAGTTTTGACTGGGGGGCCCGATCACGGGCAATGACTAAGGTAACCCCTACCAAAAACGTCTAAGACTAAAAAATGACTAAGGTACCCCTCAGTGACCAGTTTGGAGGATGACTGCGGGGGCTGCAGCTCCCGCAGTTAACATGTTAGAGGAGGCATGGGTGTCGTTTTGTATAGGCATGGTAGGGCCCGAGCCCTACTAATAATTTTGGAAATTTAACATTATGCCTATGGCGTTGCGTGGAGAGAATCGCTTTGAATTGGCAAAAATTTACATTAGAGCCCTACCAATAATTTTCGGAAAGTGTCGCCTCTGAGAGGAGGCCCTGGTGAAAAGCCAAAACCTCAAAATAAAAAAATACCATGTGATTAACACTTAAATGACGTCAATGGACTTAAAGTAAAAAAATACAAAAGACGAGATAATTTCAAAATTTTATCATTCCATTGAAAAGTCAGCCGGAGGCTGTATCTCTTATGACATCATAACTTGTGACCTGACCTGGTCAAAATTATTATCCAGAATCGTAGTGAGCGAGGGCGCGCGTAGCGCGCCCGAGCGAACGAAGATTCCCATTGGGAGGTCGCTGCGGAAAAGTTGGCTCGGGCCTGTGAGTCTGTGTGTGTGTTTGTGTGTGTGTCTGTCTGTCGAGCATTTTGGGTCCTAGCGCCGAAACGGCTGGTCCGATCGAGACGGGGTTGGTACCATTAGACGCAACGATCCGCCAGAAAGACGATGGCGTCGGTCACGTGGCGATCCGTGCCACGTGTCACGTGTCACGTGCCGCCACGTGGGGCTCTGCAAAAAATTGTTGTCAGGGCTACAGGCCAAACGGATGATGATACAGCCGCCATACTCACAGGCCACATGCTCCTCATAGTGAACCTTCATCCTAGGGGGGTTCGGTCCCGGAGGGGTGCAAGCTGCACGTGCCAGAGGCAAAAAACGTTTTTCACGGAAAACGCTCTAAAACCGTCATCTATTGAGCTAGCACCATGGAACTTGGCACACTGATAGAACTCGAGAAGCGCTACAAGATGCTGAAAGAATGAGCGCTCTAGCATAAACGTAGCACGTGATATGACCAAAAAACTCTTTACAAATAGAAAGGTCGCGGGTTCGAATCTCACTCATTCCAAACATTTTCGCCTCCGATTCTGGTCCAAGGCAACACGGTAGTGATGCCGGCATCTAGTACTAAAATATGCGCAAGGGTTGCCCCATCAGCTTTGCAAGTTCCATCACGATCCGCCGCGTCGTTCGGAAGCTATCGCGAGAAAACGTCACGGGTCGCATCGACCCGCTGGTCATGCGAGGGTTGATACATATGTTTTACAATGATACAATGAACGACTCTTGACTTTTGACTATGTCTTTTTTATCTTATTTCCATTTGAATTTAACCGTTTTCACTTCAAGTGGCTTTAACTAAGGTTTTTTTAGTTTCGTTTTACAATAAGACAATACAAATTATTAATATTTGACTTTTTTCTTTTGACTTTCTACATATTTGATTTTTGACTTGTTTCCATTTGACTTTTATTAATTTGACCTTTTGCGGTTTTGACTTTTTGCTTTGGCTTATGGTTTTTGACTTTTAGGAATTTTGACATTGATCATTTGATCATTTGTCTTATGGTCTTTTAGATATGACTTTTTACTTTTGACTTGTTCTTATTTGACTTTTTCCATTTGATTTTTATCATTTTCACTTTTTTGCCATTTTTTTCACTTTTTGTCTTTTGACTTTTCGCGTTTTTTGACTTTTTGCCATTTGACTTTTTGCTTTTGACTTTTTGCGTTTTTGACTTTTCGCCATTTTGACTTTTTGCCATTTGACTTTTTTGCTTTTGACTTTTTTCGTTTTTGACTTTTCGCCATTTTGAATTTTTGCCATTTGACTTTTTGCTTTTGACTTTTTGCGTTTTTGACTTTTTGCCATTTTGACTTTTCGCCATTTGACTTTTTGCTTCTGACTTTTTGCGTTTTTGACTTTTCGCCATTTTGACTTTTTGCCATTTGACTTTTTGCATTTTTGACTTTTGGACGTTTTGACTTTTTGCCATTTGACTTTTTGTCTTTTGACTTTTATCCGTTTTGACTTTTATCCATTTGACTTTTTTCCATTTGACTTTTTTCCATTTTGACTCTTTGCATTTGACTTTTTGTCTTTTGACATTTTGTCTTTTCACTTTTTGTCCTGGAATCGTTACGGTCATGTAACTGTTCAGTGTCTCATGCGACTAATGCCACTGCAACTTGGGGGCAATGTCAGGTCATGTTACGGTGAGGTTATCATTCAATGTATCATGGGGCGACCGCTGCCATTGCGCCCTGGGGGAAGAGAGGTCAAGGTCACGGTCAAGGTAGCTCATGGTTCAGTGTTAGTAGGGCTACAGTTCGCCGGCGGTCGCTGCCACTGCATCCTGGTGGCACAAGACAGACTAAGGTAGGGTGAGGTCAGGCTCGGTGTAAATAGTGGATAGTCGGCCATCGTGCAGCTGCCAATCATGTGCGTGTAAAGGTCGGGCTGGTCAGTGAGCCACCACCTGTCAGTAGCCACGTATCAAGTCCGTCTCTCAATAATGAAGGAACCCTCTCATTCGCACTCTCTTCTACTAGCAGCGCTTTCGACCACGACAAAACCGCTCAACGGGTGTCAAAGAAGGCAGGAAAGGTTCTCGCGTGACCAGGATCATTTCTTGGAGCGGATAAATGTGTTCTCACCATGTGCTCCAGGGTCACAGGAGGCCGGGGGAATGGACAGTAGTGGCAAACATAATGCAAATGAGAGTCGAGAAAATGAGAGGTGGAGAACGGTGGATATTGGATATTGAACACTGGGCGGTGAACGAGTTTGATTGTTCAATGTTCATGACATATTAATATGGAACGGTAACGGTAAAGTTACTTCATTTTTATCATGACAATAACAATATTTAACTCGCTGAAATGAGTCTGTATGCAATTTGCATGCAAGACACATGAGCAGCAGTCATTTCCATGTACCCCCACAATTTCCCCCTCCCTCCGTGACTTGACCCGTCTGGCGCCGCGTTGACCTTGAGTCACATGGCAACAGTGGCCGTTCCGGCCGGCCGCGCCTCACATCCGACCAATCAGCGAGCGAGCCCGCAATAAGGACCGGTCAGTGCCCGCGGGCATGGCCGGGCGTCGGCGACGAGGCGTTACCATAGCAACCGAGAGGGACGGCCGCCGGAGACTGCTGGAGGTGCGAGCTGGACCAATCGTAGAAGTTGAAATTAGTGCGAGCGGGCGGGTAGAATACGGAAGAGGAGAGGAAAGGGGAGACATTTGTGGTAGCTGGGCAGTTTCGTAGTTTACGTAGCAATGTAGCGGGGTTGAGCAGCCTGTGGGATTTGAATACCTAATTCATTCAATCTTATTACGGGGTAATTATTTAATTTTATGTTACACTGACCAACGGACTTTATCGACGGACCCAGAAGGACATGGAAGAGAAGGAAACTTGGTTGATGTCTGTCGTGTGTCTGTCACGCGAAAACATCTGGGAAAAATACCTACTTGAAGTTTGAACCAAAGAAATATGTAGGTATTGAGTAGATAATTCATTCCTGCTGGTTAATATTGCATCTCTGCCCGCTCTCTTCCCTTCCTCTAACTACCTACCTCCACTCCATTCCCCTTTCTATGCCTATTACCTCCTCATATCACAAATCACATTTTTTGCTCTTTCCTCGCTCTTTTTATCGGTGTCTTCCGCGTACCCAACACGGTAGCGTCATACATTCGCCGTTCATACGTGCCCCTGCCTCTCCAGGGAGGTAGAGGAGGGAGGGGGGGATCACCTGCGCAATAGCGCTAGGAAGGCTGAACCACAGCGGTACAGAGCTATTGGAGCGAACTGAAGGCACCGTAATTAGAGTCGGATAATACCTTACTGGATGGTTACCGAGAATTTAACCTGCGAGGCTTGATAAGACTTCTCGGTTAAGCACGAAGTCGCAGATATACCTACCTAATAATGGATTACAATTATTTGCTGGAACTGCTGAGTGCAAAAGTTGAGATGGAAAATTCCCCGTCCCAGAGATGGAATGAGCATTGAGCAATCGTTTGAAACAGGTCTAAAGCCTTAATAAATTGGTCAATCAAGCTGATTTAAGATATAAAGAGACAAACAGGTCAAAGGCCCAAATCTTTGGCCCCTAGGTAAATATTATCTTCACCACCCACAAAAACGACCTCTGCCCGTGCCCTGTGCCCGAAAATGGACCAAAGTTATTTCGCAAACATAATACGGACCAACCCGCAAGAGACTGCTGAGGCTTCTCACAAGAGGCTTCATTATAACCGTGCCATACGTTAGTGCAGCCTACACAAAGCCTGGTCAAAACAGGCGCAGACAGCTAAGACCAGAGCTTATCCCTGAGATCCGTAACACCGAACACGCTTTTCAGCACAATTCAGCTAAAAAGACACAAACTAATCCCACTTGAGGAAATACACGCTACCTCGCAATGCAGCGAACGTCCGCAAACGACTTATCAGAGCGACAACGCAAACCTTCTAATGGAAGGTCACCTCTACCCAACAAAATTGAAGTTGGAAACTCAATTTACACCAGCATTCCAGAAGGCCAGACGGATACAATAACCTAATTAGCCAGTCCATTTGCGGGAAAAACTACAGGTTAGTCAGCCGACTCGAAATAAACTAAAACACTGCCGCTTCAAACGTAAAAATAAACAACCAAAAAGACATCACCAAAAGATGTCACGAATCTCCTTGCCATTTCATCTGCCGAAGCCCGATCAGCCGAATTCGAATCCAACGGCCAGTCCACGTGTCTCACCAGCTCGAGCGCGCGAATTCCAGAAGCGCGCGAATTCCAGAAGGTCGCGCCATCAGTGGGAGTGATCGTTGCCAGTTGGCGCCGGCGCGTTTCCCAATATTGCCCTCCGGCGCGCGCGTGGGGACGTTAGGGAGCAGCAGAGGTGCCCGGAACGGGAGGACGTGCTACATATTTTATGGACCGGGAGGAAGGGGAGAGAGAGAGAGAGAGAGAGAGAGAGAGAGAGAGAGAGAGAGAGAGAGAGAGAGAGAGAGAGAGAGAGAGAGAGAGAGAGAGAGAGGGAGAGAGAGAGAGAGAGAGAGAGAGAGAGAGAGAGAGAGAGAGAGAGAGAGAGAGAGAGAGGGAGAGGCAGAGCCAGAGGCAATGAGAGAGGGAGAGGGAGAGAGAGAGGGAGAAGAGAGATAAAAAAAGGACAGAAGGCAAGTAGAATGTGGAAGAGTGAATCATTGGGTGAGTGAATTATAACACATAATTTTGTCCCACCACTCGGTTCGTGACCGTACAGTTACGCAGTGTTGGAGAAACTCACCCGTCTCGACTGGTCTGCAGAGGGTCCTGGACGTCCCCCGCACCGTCCGCCGATGGAACGTTGTCGAAAAACACCTGTGAAATAGACGGAAAAGGTAAATAGTGGCATAATCCACAAGCAAAACAACTTACGAAAAACATAAACTTCCAGTACGTGCGGACACGATTTTTTTTTTCGTTAAAAACATGGAAGCCTGACACATCACGTACGCTGGAACATCCTTTTGCAGGACGCAATTTCGTTCTCTCTCATGGACCAGACTTCTACTAATCCGGTGTGGTCCATAGACCACGCCGTCCGGGCTACCCCGGGAGCGGCCCTGTATTGGGCGGCGGAGGGCACTGCGTCACCACCGGCGTGGGATCGATGTCACCTGGTGAGGGAGGGATAGAGGACGGGAGAGAGAACAGGAAAGGAGGGAGAGGAAGAATGAGAGAAATGGAGGGAAGGAAGAGGAACGGATGAGAAATCGAATGTGAGAGAGAAGGGAAAACAGAGCGAAAGAGGACACAGGAGCGAGCTAAAAAAGAAAAGAAAAAAGTTCAAAACCGATGGATCTTTATGTGTCCATTAAATTTGTAAGAGCAAACTGTTATCTTGATCAAGCCTTAGGTGTTCAACACCTGTTTCAGTGTTATTAAAACAGTCCCTGGATTCCTGATTGCTCTATTCCCCGCTCTGAACTACTCCGAACGCACCCTGCATTCTCTCTCAAACTTCATAAGTTCCACCACCAATTGAGCGTGGCAAGATCCGCAGCCTCTTCACTAAACACCAACGAGATTCCCCAGCAAGATCCCTGACAACAACACCAATCGTGAAACAGTCGACCGAACGCATCCGGAAAGATTTAATAACCAGATCACTGGAGTCGCACACAATGCCGACAAGTCATTTCGCATCGAATGTTGCCATGGCGACACAAGTGCTCGCTAGGGACGCCGGAGCGACTCAAAGGAGAGATCAGAGTGCCTGTGATTGAGTTTGGGCTCTGATAAGTGCCGGAGATGTTATCAACAGGCCGATGCTTCAGAATGTTCGTAGCATGTTCGCGCAAATGCAACGCAACTGCGCACAAATTGAAGTAAGTGGCATTGCAGCCATTCAGGCAGGCACACTTGCAGACAAATATGTGACCAAGTTTGAGAAATCTAAACGTGAAACCCCTTACAGGGATATCCCGCCCTTCGCCGCAGTCAGCCTCCCATACCTCGGGGAGCATCGAAAGATCAGCCAGACTATTCTCTCGAGAGTCTAGTCCACCAAACCCACCCCACGCAAACACCGGCAAACTATCATCTACCGCAGGCAGCAAACAACGCCGGAGAAAAGCCAGCAGAACAAAGGGAAGTCGGAACAGAAAGGAATGGAGGGGATCGGTTGGCTAAGAGCGGAAATGAAACTTATGAGAGAACAACAAACATTGAACAGGAGCGCCAGAAAAGAAACGATACGTTAAGAGGAGCAGCCGCATTGAGAAAAAATGAACAACCGTCCACCATATCAACTAACCCCCCCCCCCCAAAAAAAAAAACAACAACTGATAAATGATAACACAACGCTACACATATCGGCACATAATCTAGGGGAAATTACATTAGCTGACTGTCAACAATGAGTGGCAATCGTCGCGTGGCTGGAGTGTTGATGACGATAGAGTGGACGACGGTTGGCTCTGAGCCCACAGCTCTGACGTAGAGGATTGGGCAGCACCATAGCGGGAAAATAAACAAGGCGGGTGTCCCACCAGATTATTAGCCTGGACGACCCCAATGGTATGTAAGATGGAAGTTAAAACATAAAGTCCCTTCTCTTCACAAAACTATATGGTTTCCAGTCACACATTGTGTGGGAAGGCGTTGAAAATAGCTCGTAGAACAGCCGACGGGGATGGAAAAAATGGTGTAAAATCATTCACAAAGGTCACATGCATGCACCTGCCTTGGCCAGGGACATTACGACAGCATTCCCAGGATTATTCCACTAATTGTAAAAAAAAACTAAACACACCGCACCGAATATACTGAAATAGATTGTATAAGAACACAAGTAGCAAGGAATAACGCAAGCCATACTACTATCTAGATAATTAAATTGCGTCGTTTCGCCAGCGGCTACCTCACTGTAAAAAAAGTTTAGCATTTGGGGTACTAACGGCTGCTATTCGTAGCACCTTTTAGCGTCAAAAGAACCCTACGACGTATTTACAAAGAAGCATGGTGCTAATACTGTGCTAATGATAGCTAACTTTCCCATCAAATATTATAAGTTTAGATCACCTATTCTTCTACTGAGCTTAACGTCTACTTCTGTTAGTACCCAGTCCATCAGTGAGTGCTCTTTCAAGCTGGATTTCTAATTAGAACCATTTTAAGTGTTTTAGAAGTTGGTAATGCTGAATATGGTGCTTACGTTAGTATCACAATAGAACCGGACATGCTTACAGAGGAAACAAATTTGAAATTGGCGCCAACGAAAGTAGCTAAGCCCTGCTTTACAAATCTCTGGGAGTCTTATCACCAGCCCTTTAGCACGTTTTGACGGCGCAGAGCGATATGCGCATGCGCGTGCCAGCTGTTTCCGGCCACGTGTTGCGCCATTTTAGTGGAGTCCGTTGGTCGTGGTGGGAGTGTGTGCACGTGCTCCGGTATATGAAGTGAAATGAAGTGAAGTGAAGTGCTCCGGGCACATGCCACCGAGTGATAGCTCTGGAATGATAGCTTAAATCAGCTATTATCGGTGGGATCCGTCGTGCGTGGCATGGGAGTGCGTGCCCCTGCTCCGGGAGGCAGTGAGGTGGAGGGAAGTGCAGTGCAGCAGTGCAGTGAAGTGAAGTGAAGTGCTCCGGGGCCGGGTGGTACATGAGCATTTGCCACCGACACATGCCACCGACACCGACGTTGATCGATTTTGGTGAGTCTGACATGCGTTGTATCTTTTGACATTATCTTATATTGTTTAAGTGCTTCATATTCCGACTTTGGCAAATCGCGCTTCTTGGTCTGAAGGAAAGTTGTGTTGTTTGCGAAAATAGCTCCCAACAGAAAAAAATCTTGGAACTGATCCAGTTTTTTTTTTTGCTCCAGGCATGAGGCCTGGTCAATTCTTCCGTCGACTACCACTTACAATGGAGGACAACTACGACAACAACACGGGGTCTCCGGTTCCGTCTATCACTAAACGCCGTCTGGTCGTGGATGAGGTCGAACTTATGGCCATGAACGGAACGTCGGTTCAACGACCCCCCCCCCCCAGTCGATCTCGCGTTAATCGTCGGTCACTGCGAGTGTGCAGGTATATGAGCGACTTTTCGTTATTTCCCGTGCGTTTGTTTGTGTATATACTTACATTTGTTTTTCATGCAGATGATATGAAGTGTTAATAAATGTTCCATTATTATTTTTTAATTTTATAATGTGTTGGATGCTTCAAAGATGCACTTACACGGGAATATTGCAGAATGCAAAACACAATCATTGAGACTTGTAGTTATCACTTATCTAGGATATAACCTTTTTTGCACGTCTTTTCGGCCTTACACAATTTCCTTTTTGGTAATTGATTAGTCCTTTTTGCAGTAACTAGTGAAAGTATGTGCTGCTAAAGAAAGCAGTTTTTGCGAACTTTTCATGCAGCAGCTTTAACTAGTATAGATATTCTACTTTCAGCCCCAATGCTTTCGTTAGCATTATTCTACTTGTCGTGGGGTAACAATAGCGCTAAAACGGTTCATATGTGAGTACGGAAGGTACTAACTGCATGCTATTCTTAGCACCTTTTAAAGTTTAGCACCGCTAGGGTACTGAAAATTGGTCTAGCAGGTGTAGGGTACTACATTTAGTACACGGGTGCTAAACAAATATAGGTACTTATATTAGCACCTTGATACTAAACTAGATCTCAGTTAAGTACGAATAAAATGCTTAGCTTAGCACCGCTAGGGTACTGAAAATTAGTCAGTTGAAAAGTACCTCTATGGTGCTAAACTTTTTTTACAGTGTGCTTCCAGCCACCCAGCCGGTCAGTCTCCCCCAGACCCCGGCAGCAATAGCGCATCAGTAATAACTCGCCCTTTACGAGGCGCCATTTCCCTATTTACGAGCTGGAATCCCATCAGCACAATAGAAAACCTCCACGCATCGGTGATCTGGTAATGGGCCCAGACAGCCCAGTGGCGCACATTTCGAAATTTCGGCCAATCGAGAGAGTACCAGTCAGCCTGGGTCCAGGCATTTATCCAGATCATTGGGTCTGTAGACGACAAAAGTTTTCTTTTTTACTTAGTTGTTGTGTACAAACCTGTCTTCCAAATGAAAATACGCGGTGTATTTCGTTTGACAAAAATGAAAAATCAATGAGCTCTGCCAGGTCTGCGGTAGTCAACCGCGGACAGTATAACCAGTCGGTAAACACTAAACTGAAGATGCTTCAGTGCGTTCAGTACTTTGTTTGTCATGTACTACCCAAGTCAGCGTACCCAGCCAACTAGCCAGTCAGCCAGTCCAGCAACTCTGCCCATCCCTAGAGGGTGCGTGACGCAAGACGAGCCAGCCAATCTCACAGATGACACCGGAAGACGTGCACTTCCGGTACGGCACGCGGTGCATTCTCACGACCAGAGGCGACCCCAGAGAGCGCCTCCGGGAGGGTTACTGGTCATGGGGGGAGGTGAGGCATGCGCTTATACGAGTAACTGCCATTATCGAAAAAGATAAGCAAAGATCGAAAGGCATCGCAACCGCCATAAAGCTATTGGAAGTAGAATGCCTGTCGACTTTCACATCCCCAAAAAAGTCCCTTGTGTGGCTGCAGCCTGCACTTGTTACGACAATGGCTAAGATACTTACATGGCACAGCCAATTTCCTTCAGGGCATGGAGATGTGGGGAAAAACTACGTAGTTCACTAGGAAACCTAATTGAACACGCATTTTTACAAAAAGAGAGGTACATCAACAGGAGGACGTTGAGCATATAATTGCGACTACAGCATGCATTAGAAATAGTCAATTGCATGTTCTGTTCAACAAGGTGAATTGTAAATTGGCACGAAATGATATGCGTCACCCAAAAAGT